CCATGTCTTGTAAGGGCTGAAAGATAACAACTCTCTACCCATATTTCTATATCTAATAAAAAGATTTCTTAAGAATAAAGATGTCAGAGATAAACAAAAACTAACAGAATTCATTGCCAGAAGGTCTACACTTGAAGAAATCTTACAGAAAGTTATTAATATTGAAGAAAAATTATATCAAATATAAAATTCAGGTCTTCTGGAAAGAATGAAAAACACTGGAAGTGGTATATATGTAAGTAAACTTAAAATACTTTTTTCTTAATTAAAAAAACATGGCTTTAAAGCAAAAATTATAACATTTCATTATGGACTTTATATCACTTGCAGATACACTGCATGTAAAAGCTAAAGCATAAATGATTGGAGAAAGTACTGGATAAGTGGATCCGTACAATTATGAGGTTCTTACGTTTTACATGAAGTGCTACAATGTTAACTCTAACTAGAACAGAAAAGTTAGGAATGTGTATTATAATTCCTAAACAGCCACTAAATAATATACAGAGATAGCCACAGCATATAAATTAAAGTTAAAAGGATTGAAAAAGATATACCATCCAACCAATAGACATAAAGTCTGTGGTGACAGTATTCATATCAGATAAAGTATACTTTAAGAGTATTACTAGGGATAGTGGTGTTTCACAGTAACAAATGAGTAAATTTATTGGGGAGACATAACAATCATACACACACAGACGTACACACAGAATTAAATGATATAATAAGTCCAAAATCATAGTTAGATATTGGAACATCCTTCTCTCAGCAATTGCTAGAATAGTGAGACAAAATAAGTAAGGCACAGAAGATACTAACAAAACTATCACTTTGACCTAATTGTTTTTTAGAGAATATTATATCCAACAACCATAGAATATACTTATTTTCAAGTACATGTGGGACTGTTCACAAAGATGTTTGCTAGGAAATAAAACAAGTTTCATAAAACTTTAAAAGATTAAAATCTTCCAAAATAGAAATCTTCCACGATAGAATTAAATTAGAAATCAGTAATATAAATATATCTGGAAAATCCCCAAATAATTGGAAATTAGGAACATGCACCTTATGGGTAAAAGAAGGGGGAAAATGGGAAATTAGAAAGTATTGCAAACCAAATGATAATTTGTGGGCTATAATAAAGCAGTGTTTAGAGGAAAATTTAGAGGCTTAAATGCTAATATCAGGACAGAGGAAAGGGCTAAAATCAATGACATGAGCTCCCAAAACTTAAAAAATAAGAGCAAAGTAAATGCAAAGAAAGTAGAAAGAAGACAGTTTCACTGGTGAATTCTACTAGACCTTTAAGGGAAAAAACAATACCAATCTTATACAAACTCACAAAAAAAAAAAGAAAGAAAAATACAGGAGGAGAGAATTACCCTGCTACCAAAATCTGACAAAAGAAAAGAAAATTACAGATCAACACTACTCATAATCATATGTAGAAAAATCCTTAACAAAATATTAGCAAATTGAACTCACTTTTAAAAAATAATACTATGTCTTGACGAAGTTGAGTTTATTCCAAGAATGCAAGGCTGTGTTAACATTAGAAAATTGATCAGTAAAATTTATCATATTAACAGCAAAGAAAAAATGTTCAATAAATGCAGAAAAATGTTTGATAAAATTAATATCAAATCATGTTAAAATCTCTCAACACATTAGGAATAGAAGGGAATTTCCTGAATTTGATAAAATGCACACATGAATAACCCATAGCTAACCTCTTACTTATGGTGGAGGACCAAATATTTTCTCCTGAAGACTGGGAAAAAGCAAGGATTTCTATTCTCATCACTTTTGTTTATTTGTCATCCTATAAGTGAAAATAAAGTAAGTGAAAGACATAAAAGCATATAATGCAGAAAGGAAGAAGTAAAATTCATAGATGGCATGATTGTTCATGTAGAAAATCTAAAAGAATCTATAAAACAACTATTAGAATTAATGAAGGAATTTACATGTTTGCAGGATTCAAAATGAATCTAAAATTATTTACTGTTAATATACAATCAGCAAAAGATTGAAAACTTAAATGGAAAATTTTCATTTCTAAGAAACTCTAAAACCAAGATATTTAGGAATAAATTTGACATGAAATGTAATAACTCTGCAACGAACACTGCAAATCATTTCTGAAAGACATTAAAGAATACATTAAGCCCTACATTAAGCCCTGGCTGGCGTAGCTCAGTGGATTGAGCACGGGCTGCGAACCAAAGCATCACAGGTTTGATTCCCAGTCAGGGCACATGCCTGGGTTGCAGGCCATGGCTCCCAGCAACTGCACATTGATGTTTCTCTCTCTCTCTCTTTCTCCCTCCCTTCCCTCTCTAAAAATAAATAAATAAAATCTTTTTAAAAACCTTTAAAAAAAGAATATCTACATTAATGGAGAGACAGATCATGTTCATTGATTAAAAAACTGAATATTGAAAACTTAATAGTGACTGGATGTCAGGTCTCCCTTAATTGATCTACAGACTCAACAAAATTGCAATGAGAATGCCACCAGGTATTTTGGAGGAATTGAGAAATGATTCCAGCATTTTTACAGGAATTCAAAGGACCCAGAATAGTCAGACTGTTCTTGAAAAAGAAAAACAAAGTTGATAAATTTTCTCTACCTGGCTTATGTGCTGAAAGCAAGTGAGTGGAAGAAGCTGGTACCAACTAAAATCCCTTCGCTGAGGTTGGCAACGTTCCAGCAGAGTGGGGACAAGGTTTTAACTACTACGGCTTGTGCTTAACTCCACTGGCATCACACTCTGCAGACGTGTGTCCGGTGGTGGTGCACAGGTGTGTGTACTGGACCACTTCTGTGGTATGATTTTAGGCACATAGCCTGTCAGTGGTGTGTATAGTCCTCCCGATGATTCTATGTGCTACCTGACAATCTATGATAAATTCCTTTTCTGCTTAAATTAGCAAAAGTCGTTCCTTTTGTTAACAACAGGGAACCATGAGTGATACAAATACTAGGAAGAAAAATAAAGAAGGATGAAGGGACAAAGGGTGACTGAGGCTGTATTTTGGATAAAGAGGAAAGAATGAGGAAGTGACATTTGAACACACCGTATTATTCCATTTTAATTTGTAAAACTAAATTCAATATGTGTATATACATCTAGATGAACAAAGAATAATGTGAATAGATTATTGTGGCAGGAGCATAATAGCTCCCAAAGACATGTCCACTTCCCCAATCTCAGGAACTTGACGATGTTACCTTATTTGGGAAAAGGATACCTGCAAATGTGATTCAGTTAGAGATCTTGAGATGAGGATAGCATTTTGGGTTTTGGCTTAGTGAAATTAATATTGAACTTCAGGCCTATAGGACTGTGTTGTTTTAAGTTACCAAGTTTGTGGTAAATTGTTAACAGCAGCTACGGAAAACTAATACAATAATATTTTCAACTGTAACCCTCATCATCTAGAGGGAGGAAGGAAGGCAGAGGTTAGAAGTGGGGAGAAAGATAGGAATATGAATATATATCACAATCCCTTTGTGTAAGTTGAAAATAGATGGACACAACACAAGAATATAAATTTCATGAAAATAGGTCTGTCTGTAGTAAACATGCAAGAAAGATTGCTGATGGGAAGGGGAATGGGAGTGCAGGCAGAGGGAAATAAATGACAGCAGAAATGAAAAATTCAGTTAAAAGTTTGAAAGGTAAAGTTGGGGACACTTGCTATAAGATGGAGCAAAAAAGAGAAAGAGGTAAAAAGTGGAAGAGAAAAAGAGTAATAAATAAGACGACCAGTCTAGGAGACCCTATATGTGTATCTAAAAACAGTCCAGAATGAGAGAACAAAGAAGGGAATGTAAACAACAAAGAAATAATTCAAGGTAACTCTCCTGTATGGTTTGATGTTAGATTGGAGAGAGAAGGTAGAATAGAATGAGAGTGGAGATGTGTACACAGTTAAATCATAACGATTCTGGGAGGTCGCTTTAAGGAACCTTTGCTACAGCTAATCCTCCTGTGTAGAATGGCTGTCAAGGCTCTCTTAACCTAGACAGGACTTTTTACATAATATTCAAGACCCAAGGTAACATCACTGACTAGGGAAGCCATCCTGGACTCATTTAGCCAAAGTAAACAGTTCTTCCAACATGTTATAGAACTCAGTACATTAGAATAAATTATTAATTGGTGTCTCTTTTATCTCCTAGAAGGAGGTATGCTCTTTGAGGGCAGAAGCCAGAGTGGGGCTCATTCATCTTTCAAGTCACAATGGTGGTAACTCAATAATCTTTTGTTCTAACTTGGCCCCAAATCAAGAATTTCTCAGTTCACAAACTTTACCCTTTCCCAAACAGCAAGTAAGGTGAAGATAAAGTGATACCTCTATTTTTGTGCCAGAAAGTTGAGGGTGAGTGTAAGGGAACAGCCATCACATTCAAGTACAGAGCACTCCACACACCTTACTTATCACCAGGGCCCACAGCCCGCCTGCAAGGCAGGCACTATCATCCCCACTGTGCAGATGGAGAAACTGAACCTGCCACCCAAAGTCACAAACCAGGTCTTATTCCCAGCCACGCCACCCTTTTTCCTCAACATTCATTGTAATTTTTGCAAGTATAATGTTCCATTCCTAGGACTTCACATCAGTTAATTCATTCCTAGTTTACTAATATCTGGCCTCCATGATTACACTACATCATTCACTCGCTGTGAAAAATAACCCACTCTTTAAAAAGAGTCGATATGAACCTAATTTCCTGATTCACAGTTGTGTCTTTCGGCATAGATACTCTACCTTTTGTGTCCACATACGTGTCCTGTCTTACTTTTAGTAGGAATACATTTCACTGATTTTAAAGTAGGGGGTCCACCATATGGAATACAGATTGTCCTTCCCAGTTTTATTTTTCTTTACACAGGATGAAAGCATATAGCGTATTGCAGACAGAGGAGTATGATAATCGCCTGTGTCTTTAAATAAGAAAGGCCCTGCCCCTCCTCCAGGAGCGCCTGGGAGGACTGCTAGGAGCTGCGGGCTGAGGGCTGCCCGCGGCGATTGGAATGCCCAGTCACGGAGGGGCAGCCTCCGCCCGCCACGCCGGTCTTCCGCTGTCCTCGCGTCGGAGCTGGAGTCCCAGCGCGCAGGCAACGACCCGAGAGCCGGGGCTCCGGAATTCGTGGGCCGCGCATGGACGCTCCCGGGGACCCCGAGGGCTCAAGTGCCCCAGGAGGTGACCGAGAGGGGCGCGGCCGCACGCGCCTAGTGTCTTGGGTCCTGTCTCTGTATCAATGATTGAATTAGCTTGTTTTGTTTCTGAGACAATCGAAAAAGCTGGGGACTGACTGTGGGTTTTGGGGTCAGCAAAACCCTTAAGGGGGTTCAAGTTCGGGCACTAGCGTTGGTGTGGTCTCTACTTCCCTTTAGCTCTGCTTTTAAGTACTGTGTTTATGAATGCATTTTAATAAGCGTGCCATTGGATGGACGGAAAGCATTACATGTGGAGGTCTCACTGTTGTTCCCCACTCTAACTTTCAGTTCCCTTTCTGCTGTACTACATAGTGTTTGCAACGATTCTTGACTTCCTCATCTTGCACTGATTTTTTTCACCTGCACTGCAATGTCAAACGGAAAAATCAAGCAAAGCAAACATGTTTTTCTTACTTAAATGTCTTTATTTCTCCAAGCCACTTAATTTAACAGTGGCTGGTAGATTTACTGGATGTTTGAAACTGAGTAATGGACCTGGTGTTTTTAAGTTAAATGAAAATTTAGCCCTTGGAATAAGTATCAAATTAGTTGATACAAAAGGCCTGTAATTAGTATTTTTAAAAAAAGGAGTGATTTACAGGTGTGTGGGACCTGCCTTTCCAGGGCATACCATGTAAGTAATGATTCACCAACTGAATGCTTTCATTTGTTTTTCTCCTTACACTTCACTTCCGTGCTGCCCTAGAATGCTTAATAAACAGCTAACATCACACGCCTAAAACATTATTAGTTCATGTAGCAGATGAAGCTAGTAACTTGAGAAATTACATTATATTTCAGAGAGCAGTACCCCTCGGACAGCACCCTGTAACCTCATCCTTCTTGAATTTATTCAAGGTGAAGGAATTAGGCCTCATGGTGAAGGCAAAACAGAGAAGATGATTTGATAAATTCTGTACTGAAATTCTAATGTGAAACACTATGTCAATGAAAGTGAAATGTTTTCAAAATTGCAGTGATGTCCAAGGATTATGTTACATTTAATCACTTATGCTACATGGAAAATAGCCCTCAGCTCAGTAAATGTTGTCTAATTTAGAGTCCATAGTCCATGCATAGAAGTGGTGTTTGTGTACTTGGATCAGTAGTTCCAATTACATGGCTATAACTGTTTGCATTTTAGGTGATGACCCTACAGAAAGTGCAAGAGAGGCACCCAACCGGCTTTCAAGAGAACAGATTTTTGCACTGATATCAGCAGCTTCCATTAACTTAGGCTCTATGATGTACTATTCTATCCTTGGACCCTTTTTCCCCAAGGAGGTGAGGCATTTTTATATCCTCATGAACTCTTGATTACTTAAAGCCTTTTTAATCATTTACTTTTGTAATATGTAAAATGTAAAGATGTGCATATAGTAAAGATGATGTGTAGATCTTCAGCCAACAGAAGACTTCTTACCAGAAGTCTTTGGTACCATATTTGGTACCAGAAAAAGAAGATCCAGTCAAAAGAACATCATCCTGGGAGATAATTCACCTAAATATAATTGACCTTTTTTGCTTATTGTGTAGTTTGATTAACCTTGATTTGCTTGCTGCTATTTAAAAAAGGGGCTGCACTGAATAACAGATTTTAACGTTACTGCAAGAGGTCCATGCTAAGACAGTAAAGGAAGCTATGGTCCACTAAATTTCCTTTTCTGACTTGAATGTCTTATGGAATTGAGAGGCAGTGTTTGTACCAAGGAAGAATTCTCATTAATCTTCACTAGTTCCTTCTAATCATAGCCTTTTATATGATGTTAGGGTCTATAGTTAATGGCACAGATTCAAAAGGAAAACCCTCTGGAATCTGAGGGTGATAGGACATAGTGGGAAAAGAATGGTACTGGCTTGGCTGAGTGGAGGTAACATGCCCATACGTTTCACTTCTTGTTCTTTGCCAAAGACTCGGTGCACTGGCCCCTCAGTTCCTCTGACCGCTTTGGTAAAATGTGGCCTTCATTCATTGTACAATAAAAGGATAAACATGGCTTCTCTGCTAAAGACCCATGCAACCCTGTTCCCAGATAGTGATGTTTCATTTCCAGTGCACTTTCCCAGTTATCCCAATTGTCTCTGCAGCTACTCCATAAGATAGGCAGAGTAGTAAGATTCTCATCATGTTGTGAATGAAGAAACAGATTCAGAAAAGAAGCAGGCCCAATCCAGTCCTGTTCGCTGAATGGGAGTGGGAGGCTGAATGACTTTGGATGCTAGATCAGAAAAAGGATCAGGAAAATGTCCCTCTTTTGTCTGTCCGTTGGGAGTGAAAAAATATGAAAAAAATGTTGCAGAGTATTTGGACATATTTTAAGGAGAGGATTTGCAAAATGTTATGAGACTCTAGAGGAAGAATTGGTCAATTTTATCATGAATACAGAAGGGGGGTGGTTAGGGAGGGAAGGTCAAGAAGGGGTGGTACTGAATGGGACTTCACAGGATAAATCCAAGGTGGGTCTTGAGAAATGGTAGGTCCCCAGGTGAACAACAGAAGTGAGGTGCTCTAGGAAACAGCTTGATAGTCACAGAATTAGCACAGTAAACTCCGTGTTCTTGGGGAGCCGCAGCCGAGTTGGTGAGGCTTGGGCCTGGGGTGGACTGAGGCCTGGTTGGCGCCAGAGGACCCGAGGAGGCAGGTTGGGATTAGAATGCAAAGGTCCTTCCATGCCTGCCAGAGATTTAGTCAGTGAGATGTCAGCAGAGGTGCTTCTCTATGTTCTCTTCGAAGAGTTTAAGTGTTCGAGTCTTATGTTTAAGTCTTTATAATTTGTTTTTAGTTGATTTTGTGAATACTGTAAATTAGGGGTTCAATTTAACTCTGTTTCATATGGATATCCAGTTCGAACATCACTAGTTCTTGAAGAGAATGTTTATTCCCCATCATGTGTCCTTGGCGCTTCTGTGAAAGATCAATGGACTATATGTGTGTGACGGGTTTTCTGGGCTCTCTATTCTGCTCCATTGATCGATCTGTCTTCATGCCAGGGCCATACTGTTTTAATTGCTGTAGTTTTTATATTTACTTTTGAAATTAGGAAGCATGTTGCCTTCAATTTTGTTTTTCTTCTCAAGATTGTAAAGCTAACAATTCTTTAGGAGCATGGTGAGTGAATTATTTTCATGTCAAAGACTAGATTTTAGTAGTTTCCCTTACTTTACCATCCTGTTTATATTAGAATAATAATTTTTGAAATTGCTACACAGATAAAAGTTATAAGAAGATGGTGCTCTCATCTAATCATCAGCTCCATTTTTCTACATTGATCCTAATTTGTCTTTCATACTTGTTTCCTTTTCAATTTCTTTGAAGGCTGAAAAGAAAGGAGCCAGCAATACGGTTATTGGCATGATCTTTGGATGTTATGCTTTGTTTGAATTGCTAGCCTCTTTGTTATTTGGAAAATATGTAAGTATTAAGGTTCATATGAACATTTTAATTTTTAAAAATTGTATAATGAGTTATTCTAACTTACTAGTAGAATTTCCGTTGATACTGAAACCATTATTCTTTGTATATTGTGCCACTGTGACAGTTCCATTCTTAGGGTTGATTGATTGGTTGGTTGACTTTTAACTTCTTTCATGTTTTAAGAGATGTATGTTTTTATGCTATTAAATATTATGGTGGGGAGGAGGCTAGAGGGTGGAGGGCGTGAGCAGAAAGGATAAAGGACTCTTGGACATGGACAACAGTGTGGTGATTGCAGGGGGAAGGGGGTATAAGGGCACTAAATGGTAATGGGAAAAATACAATAGAAAATTAATTAATGTATTTATTTATTAAAAATAAATAATAATTGAGGTAACTTCATCTCTTTCCAAAATTGTATATTTCCTGATACAATGGACTTATTTATGCCGATTCAGACTTGTGACAGTCATAAATTTCCCACTCTTTTTTGATATTTATTATAGCTTGTACATATTGGAGCAAAATTTATGTTTGTAGCAGGAATGTTTGTCTCAGGAGGAGTTACAGTTCTCTTTGGGTGAGTCGTATTTTGGTGTGGGTGGGGTACTGCTCTTTTCAATGAGTACTGTTAAAAAAGAAAAGGATAAACATCAGCTTGGCATTTGAGACCTGCCCTGTTCTCTTTTAGTGTGTTGGACCAAGTTCCAGAAGGACCAATATATATTGCTCTGTGTTTTCTAGTGAGAATAATAGATGCAATAAGCTTTGCCGCAGCAATAACTGCATCTTCTTCCATCCTCACAAAGACTTTCCCAAATAATGTAGCTACAGTACTGGTATGTAGTTTATGAATTTTTTCCTATTCTATTTTTAGTATAGGCTAAAATATTTGTTTTACCTTTCAAGTTAAAGCTGGGGTTCATTTTCTTAGGCCTTCTTTTTTCTACAATCTGTGTTTGTACGTTCAGCAGCAGGCTGTCAATAAGTGTATCATTAATCTCACTTAGGTCTCTTCCTGGGCTTAGAATCCCCTGAACAAGCAGTTTGACAGGTAAATGTAGTCCAAGCCAAATATTCTTTTTATCACTTTTTTTTTAAGATTTCATTTATTTTTAGAGAGAGGTGAAGGGAGGGAGAGAAACATTGATCAGTTGCCTCTCACATGCCCTCAACAGGGGACCTGGCCCACAACCCAGGGATGTGTCCTGATGGGGAATGAAACCTGTGACCTTCCGGTTCTCAGGCCAGTGCTCAATCCACTGAGCCACACCAGCCAGGACTCACTTTTTTTTTTTAAAGTTACTCCCATAGTAGTATTTTGCTGTCACTCTGTAGCCAAGGTTGGGGCTCGGCTGCCTGAAGCTTTCCTTTACTTAAGAGAAGGGTTATCTCTAGTGGTCTAGTGGCCAAACATTTGATTTATCCTCGAGTCCTTCCTCCACTTTCCCCACGTTCATGGGAGAGATCTGAAAGACCATCTGGAAATTCACAGGTGCCTTTGTGCTGTCTGTCTAAGGAATACCCTCTTATTTTGCCATAAAAACCCAGACACTGGTGTTGATGTACTTCTCATATATTGCCTAGGTGCTTAGAGATCTGTTATTAGGGACATACCAGATTCCTGTCACAGCTCTTGGCTTCTGCCTCCTTGACCCCAGCTCTCGGCTTCTGCCTCCTTGACCGCAGGCTTTCTTGTAGCTCTCTTCTTGGACCCATGCATCTCTGAAGAACCTGGGTCTGTCCAGAGACCAGATGTCACCCCAGAGCATATAATTGTCCTCTGGACCTCAGGTCTAATCAGCTTAGTACCAAGCACTCCTTCATTTACCCATATTAATCCATGTTAAAAAGTTGTGACCATTAAATAAACTATTTGCTGTGTAGATGGTTCTTCCACTTTTTATTTTATGTACAGAGCTGGATGTGTTGATTTTAGGATAGGCTTATTCTGTAGCCGTTCAGCATGTGGTCATGGCCATGGTGACAGGTACACTGTTTACATTTCCTAGGAATATGTTCCTCAAAGAGGATTCAGAAGACTAATCTGTTGACATGGTCCATAAAACAAGGTTTTGTGGCTAACCATGTTTGAGTGTGCATATAGAGTGTGTTAAGACTGAGAAATTCTATAGTGGAGATAGTGTATTTAATGTTCCTAAACTCAATTTGACTATGCAACCCCTTTTTCTTAAAGACTTTTAAAGAACTGGTTTTTGGCAGAATGCTCTGGAAAATGCTGCCCAAGAAATTCCTATGATTCAATAGTCCTTCCGATCGACAGGGGAAAACAGTGTTGGCACACCAACTTTCTATATAAAATTGCAGCCAAAAGATGACTACCTGACACAGTAGTTGATCTGGATAACATTGTCATGATGAAGTGTAGAATTCCTACATTCTTTATGAAACGTTGCAAATTATTAGTGGACTACTTTTGTGTCTTTGTGAGGTCTGAGGATATTAGGTTGCAAGCCATGGGTCTCTGTTTAAAGCCTGTAAACTAGATTTATTTAAAATGGTGCAATTTCTGTAAGAGTTCTGCAATAGCGAACTATTTTCCATAGCATTGTTTTATTTATTTTAATTTTAAGAAAATAATTGTATATGGTACAAAATTTAAAAGTTACCAAAGGAAATATAATATATAGTGAATATATTCTATACATTAATATTGCCCAGCTTTCATACACACCTGTTGTCCAGGCACCCAGGCCAGCGTTGCTCTCTCAGAGAACAATGTTGTTACAGGTTTCTTCCCCAGTGATTCCGTGTGTTCATGTACACACATGCACACATGCACACACACACTGAGAGACAGCATGACTCCCTCCATTTTCTCTGCACCTGTGATAGCATACCCTCTCTTACTTATTACACGGACATTGAAATTATCTTCAAGATCTTTCTGTATCTATATATGAAAAGTTCCTTGCTCTTTGCTTCTGTTTAATGGCTATATAGTCCTTCACTGTTTGTATGGCTATAACCTAGTTTATTTAATTTGATGAATATCTAGGTTGTTTACATCTTTTGCTCTTGTAAATAGTGCTACAGACGTAAGCTTGTACATATACCACATCACACCTTTGCGTCTGTACCTGGAAGTTTAATTCGCAGAAGTGGCGTTCTTGGTCAGAGAATGTGTGCATTTGTAATGACTGGTCTGCCAAATTGCCCTCCGGTGGTCACTCATCAGCAATGCCCGAGGGTGCCTCTTTCCTCAAATTCTTGAGAGTATAGAGAGTTTGACAGGCAATAGGTAAACATGGTTCATTTCAGTGTTCACTTCTTTGAAAAGTGAAGGTGGGCTTCTTTTTACCTGCCTAAGAGCTCTGTGTTTCATTTTATGCATCAACAGTCTCTTTATAGCATTTGCCTATTTTCCTATTACATTGTTCATCTTTTCTCATTGATTAGTAGTATCTTTTCTTTCTTGATATATTTGGGAAATTGGTCCTTTGTCAGTATTTTTTCTCTGTTCTTTGTCTTTTGATGTGTTTCACCATGCATAGCTTTTCTTATTTTTATGTAACCAGATTTATCAATCTTTTCCGTTGTATTTTCTGAGTTTTTGTGTCATCATTAGAAAATTTTCCCTACCATAAGGATTAAAGAACAAAAAAAGCCCTCATATTTATTTTTTAGTACTTTTATGATATCAATATGCATGTTTAAATTTTGTGTCTGCCTTGAGCTTGCATGTATGTGCATGTGTATTTTGAAGTAGGTAGAATTTTTTCAGATCGTGACCATTAAATCTTTGTTAATTTTTCATACAAAATATATTAACTCAATTTTTTTGTTTCCCCATTTGTAGGGAAGTCTTGAGATTTTTTCTGGACTGGGACTGGTGCTAGGACCTCCTTTAGGTGGCTTCTTGTATCAGTCCTTCGGCTATGAGGTGCCTTTCATTTCTCTGGGGTGCATAATTTTGCTGATGGTACCACTAAACATGTACATTTTACCTAATTATGGTAAGACTACATTTATTACTCATTTTAAGAACCTTAAGTTTAAGTATCTGCATGCCTTTGTAGAAGACCAATTTAACATATACTCACTTTTATTTTATATAGCCAATAGTATGTTTTTAGAGCACCCTGAAATAACTGGTTCTATTTTCAGAAATACCCTGTAAGCCATCAGTTTAGGTACATTTCTGTATATTAGAAATTTTTCTGACCTTTAGGACCAGCAAATACTTAATTCTTCATCATAAAACATCACCATATGCAGTGTGCTCAAAGGTCACTGTGGACTTAAATATTCAGCATGACAAATTACCATACACCAAACATGGCTCTGTCTTCTCAGAAGGCTGTGAAGGCAGGAGGGCATGGCCCACCTTCCTCCCCACTGTCCTTGCAACCATCTGTGCAGCTTGGTCTTCTAAGAGGAATGCATCCGAATTGAGGAGAGCAGAGAGAATACCCAAGTAGCTGGGAAGAGCTTCCCAGGAGATTCCACTGTGTGTCTGTTGAAGCAGATATCACCCTAAGTTCCCATTACCCAAGTTTCTTCAACAGCTTAATTAAACTCATTGTATGTTTGTTTTCACGGACATTCTTACTATTTTGATGACCCCTTTTCATACTTTGGATTTAGAGAAGGGAACCATTTATGCCAGATCATTTTGTCTTATTCCATAAATCTATAATGCCTTTTATATGCACAGTAAATATAACTGGTTAAAGTTGATCTTTTATAATTTATATCTTAAAGGTGACTAATAAACATCTTTAATGTACAATTCAAAATCCACACGAAGTAGTCTCCCTGCTGACACTACCCCACTGAGCCACACGGTGGTGCTTGGCCTCTTTATAGTCTAACTACACAAGCTCCTTCAGCAGTTGAGTGTCCTGGGCTGTGCTCAGATTTGGTTTACCATTGAATATTTGGCCGATAATTAAGAAACTAACACTACGGTTTAACTTTATCCTGCATTTTCTGACAAAGTCTAAACGAAGCACTTAAAATAGTTGAACCACTCTTTGTGTTTTTTGTACTTTGCTCCATACTGGATCATTATTCAACAAGCATTGATTGAGTAATGAACCGTGCTGGGTGCCAGTGGAGAAATGAGGATATACAAGTGCTGATCCTGGCTCTCAGAGACCTTCCTTGTCCAGACTTGGCCAGTTCCACCTGTGGCCGGGGCCGCTGCCAAAAGCTCCTGACTGGTGCCTGTCTCCATTCTCCACAAGGCCACAGAAAGTTCTCTCTGAACCACAGATCTTATTCTCAGCCCTTGTTCGAAATCCCTAGAGTTTCTCGGGTTTCTTAACGTATTTTGCAAAGTCCTGCATAATCACATCTCTACATTCTCCTGCAGTACAATCTCTCCCCACTGCAGAGACATCCCCCGCCCCAGTCTCCTCCTCCAACTTTCTCTTCTTTCATTTCTGCAAACACAGAATAGTTTCCTCACTTCTGAGTCTTGCACTGTGCCATCCCTGGAACCGTATGCCTGGAGTATGCTTTCCTCCTCTTAGCTTGCTCATCGCAAACTTATCTTTAGGCATCAACTTAGATATTACTTTTGGAAAGACTTTTCTATATAGTCTTCCTTGTTTTTTGTTTGTTTGTTTGTTTGTTTTAAGAAAATGTTCTCATGTGCCCCAGTAGGCATCCTCCTAGCTCCATCTTACCTTCCTCCACATCTCTCTGAAGACAGGGTCTGAGTTGGTTCTCTTTGCCTTTGCATGCCCAGCATTTTGTATGGTACCTGGCTCAGCAAAGATTTTGTTTAGTAAATTAATTGAAAGCTAGAAAAGCCATCAAACAACAGTTAACTGTGAAAAAGTAAATATAGCTTAGGTTCTAAAATATATGGTATAAATGGAATTCTACTCGGCTGTATAAAAAAGAAGAAAATTTTACCCTTTACAACAGCAAGGATGGACCTGGAGAACATTATGCTAAGTGAAATAAGCCAGTCAAAGAATGACAAATACCATATGATTTCACTCATATGTGGAATCTAATGAATAAACTGATCTAAGAACGAAACAGAAACAGATTCATAGGTGGAGGACAGATGACAGCTAGTGGTGGTGGGGGCGGAGGTTAGGGTGGAGGGACTGAGCAAAAAGGAAAAAGGCCTCACAGACATGGACAGCAGTGTGGGTACTGCTAGGGGAAGGGGGATATAAGGGGACTAATTGGTAATGGGAAAATACAATAAAGATTAAAATAAAATAAAATAAAATAAAATAAAATAAAATAAATACAATATAATAAATAAAATGTATAGACTTTGAAGTACAGCAGGAAACCAGAGAGAGGTAAAATCTGTAGAATAATTAGGGCCAGAGCTAGACTTTACAAAGGGAATAGAATTGGAAAAATTAGCAGAGGAGAAATGAAAGGAGGCATAGAGTGTGACCAGAGGCTTGGAAACAGTGAAGCAGCTGAGGCAATGGTGGGAAGGGAGGCTGGCGCTCAGCTGACCATGAATGCCAAGTGCACTTCCCACATGATTCAGTAGTAGCACCCCTTTCAATAGTGTTTTCTTTGCTAATAGAGAAAAGAATTGTCTTGTGTTCTATGATGAACTCAGATTCCTCCTCAGCATACACACTTTGTTCCTTGATAAAGCATCTGGCTTTTCCCACTCACCAAATTAAACCTTACAGATTCGGATTCCACCTGGGGAAGGCCACACATGCTTCTAGGTTATAACCTAGAACCTATGACTTCTTCTCATGATACTCTCATTCTGGTTGACATTTTTTGAATCTGAGACACTATTTTTAGGAAAACTGAATGTGGCCTCTAGGTTTGAATAACTTCTGCAAATATAGGTAATAAGCAATTTAGGCAAACTCAGAGGTGCAGTTACTTTGATTACCATATAATGATTGCCTTTCCAATTTTACTTTTCAACATAGGTTAAATGATAGTTAAGTGATTTTAATTACTCTAATTCCTTTTTCATTTTTACCCCGAAGAGTCGGATCCAAGTGAACATTCATTCTGGAAACTCATCAGTTTGCCCAAGGTTGCCCTTATATCCTTCGTCATCAACTCACTCAGCGCGTGTTTCGGCTTCCTTGATCCCACCCTGTCTCTCTTTGTTTTGAAGAAAGTGAGTAGCCTGATAGATGAAGAGCTCTGCATTGTAGGACGTGGACATAATAGTTTGCTCTTGGGCCCTGCTGGGTGGGAAGTTCTCTGAGGGGCAGTGAGGTGGCAGCCAGGTGAGAACTGCACACCAAGGTAGTCTGTACCTCAATCTGATTGATGTCTCTATAACTAGGGAGGGGCCTGATTCAGTGTAAATGAAACAAACCTTTCACTTAGTGGTCCCAACATTTGTCCCCTTTTTTCTCTCTGATGCCAAGCTCGAGTTATCATAGGTCTGGCTTGTGTTTCATCCCAGCTGCTTAACAAGGACACTTTTCCTGTTTGTTTGAATTTCAGTGGGGAGTGTGGGGCACCCAGTGTCATTTAATGCAGGTGTCCTTCTCAGACAGATCCCCTCTGAGTCCACTTACTTTTTAGGCTATTGCATGTAATTGAATGACTACGGACTATATTAATCAGATGGAAGAGAGAAACCCAGAGCCTCTCCATTTTTTAGTGCTGAGAAATAAATGCTGAATTCTAAAAGTTTGTTATCATAGGATTTTGTTTTTAGATATTTGTAAAAAGGATTATGAATAATGCAATAAGGTATATTACCAAGCCTGGTGGTTAATTATATTGGAGAATTAATATGTGTGTGTAAGACAGAAATGTATCAGTTGCAGCCCACACTGACTATAGGTGAAACAGTAGAATTAGAAAAGCACAGTTACTAGAAACATACCCCTTGAAGTCACTAAAGACAGTTTTGAGTGTGTAACTACCCATAATGATGCACTTGGAGACTATAATTTTAATGTATGGCCCAAGGTGTAAAGAATAAATAGAATATCACACTTAAGCAATGAGCATTCAGGTGGTACCATATAAGAAAAATATGTTATGTTTATGGTGACACATTCCACTCACATCAACAGTGTATCTCTGTGAGAATCATTTTTCTGTCCACAAGAAGTGGTATCTAAGAAAATGGAAAAATGTGTAACCATTCTCTAGTAAACCCAAGTTATGCATGTCGAGAGGGGAGGGAGGTGGGGGTAATGGGGAAAAGGGGAAGGATCATCAAGTAACATGTAAAAAGAACACATGGACAGAGCCAAAGGGGGATAGGATCAAGGGTGGGAGGTGGGGATGGGTTGGGTGGGGGACTAGGGAGTCGGGGGAAAATGGAGACAATTGTACTTGAACAATAATAAAAAATAAAAAATATGTAAAGAAACTCATTTAACCTTTTATAAAAAAAGACATCTTTAGGAATGTATTTTCCTTTTTTACTATGAATTCTTTTGTCCTCTGACTTCTTATCCATTGTTTGAATTGGTGATTTGCCATGGGGTCGTGGTTGCCTAGCCTTTCAGGGTAGGAGGCTCGACCCTGTCTCCGCCATGTTGTAATGTCAGAAGAAGACACATCTGACATTTGTATCTTGCTCCTGTCTTTAAAGTACTAATTTTTAGCATGAGTTAATATCCATTATAAGCACTGTTAAAATTTACACTGACTTGTAAATAAATCTTATGGGCTTCATTAAAAAAATTAGTTAAAGGAATTGAGGAAAATGAGAACAACTCAGATAAGCAAAAAAAAAAGGTATTTATATTATGTTAGTAACAGTATCAAAGTTATGTGGTAGGTTATTGTTTGAAAAGCCTTTTAACATATCATACCACTGAGTTATTTAAATAGATATTAATATCCCTTTCTAGATGGGTTAAATAGACGATATCATCAGTGATTTTTACACCTGTGCACTCAGTCTGTGGATAATAAGAGCCACCTAATAGCTTGTTAGAAATTTTTGAATAAAACATTCTAGGGTGATGGACCAAGAACTTCTTTTAATAAGTTCTCCAGGTAATTTTTTATGCACACTAAAGTTTGCAAAGCATTCATTTACATATACAAAGCTATGATTTGTAGGAGCAAAATTATATGTTTAATGTCAAATGCTACAAAGCAAAAAATCTAGGACATTTGACCTCTGGTTAGGTTTCCCGCCACAGAGAAAAAGTAATCCATTCTCAAAATCAAGACAAAAATTAGGAAGGATGCTGAGTATTATTAATAGACTGATGGTAGATAACAAGATCTGAAGGGATGGTAGAAAATAGATGTGTATTTCCAAAATGACTGAATTGTATAACTTTAATACAAGATTTCTTTTACAGTTTAATTTACCAGCTGGATATGTGGGACTGGTATTCCTGGGTTTGGCACTGTCCTATGCCATTTCTTCACCACTCTTTGGTCTACTAAGTGATAAAATGCCAGTACGTACACTTAACTTATATTTAAGAATTGCTTTTTGTATGTTTAGACCAGTGGTTTTCGAACTGTACATCTAGATTAGAGCTCTAGAGGTCCACTGATTAGAGTTGGCATATTCATTTTTTTAAACTTCAGCTTTATTGAGGTATAACTGACAAAACTGTAAGATATTTAAAGTGTACAACATAGTGAATTGCTATATATATGTTATTATATATAATGTTGTAATATAATGTGTATATATGTATGCATACACACATTGTGAAAGAAGTCCTTCTGTCTACTGATTAACACAGCCATCACCTCATGTATTTATCTTTTTGGGGGGAGGTGAGAACATTTAAGTTCTAATATGTTAAGTTTTTGAGCTTATGAAGAGGTTCCAGTGTGAGGCTCTAGTGACTTCCAACCTGCCAGCACCCTGAGCAGGTTCACTGTTAATTTCTCCATCTGGGAAAAGAGGAGTCTTGTTGAAAAACTACTGGATTAAACTTTCTAAAGGAAAAAGCTCCCTTAATGAGAAAGGGTTGACTTTAGTAATTAGAGCAGAGTCCCAGAGGTATTAGGACTTGATCAAACTGAGAGAAGATAGTTTAGTTTTTCTATGGGAGTGAAAGGCTTCGCTGTGTCAATATGCATTGGTGGTCCCATAGCCATCCTGATAGGAAGTCCCTTCTATTCTTCTTTTGCTAGATCTAAAGGCACCCAGTCCAGATAACTAGTGTACAGAACTAGTGAGTGCTGTTAACCAGATCTTTAGCTTCTATGACTTCAGTGCTTATTTACCCATTTCCCTTCTTCATTAGATTTGCATATACATTTATCAGATGTAAACTACCACACATGGAGATTATTAAGAAAAGCAAGTGTCTTAAACAGTGTTTGAAACTTGGTTTTAAGACATAGTCTTATATAACTAAGCAGCTATTATACTCCTATAATGTTTAGGCTGCATTCAAGTAGTTTATAAGGACTACTTTTAGTGGGTACTTTTTTAATGATGTAAATTTTCTAGATGTTTCCCTGCTAGGTGGTTCCTTTTCCTTGTAGTTACTACTTTTTAAATTGTTATATTTGGAAGAGTTCATCGTGCACAAAATCTGCCATCCACTCCCTCCCTTTCCGAGGAATCCTTGTTTATGCATACTCCCCGTCTTGGGGTGTGTTGTCCTTGCTTTTGTGTCTACTGTCTACCTATTTTCTCTCAAATGTGGAGGTTTGTTTTCTTCAATGCATTTGGATTTCTTAATATCATGACTTGTGTTCATCAGTGATTTGTTTTAAGATTCTTTGTTCATAGCAGGTTTTAAGAGTTCCTTTGGTCCCTTTCTTCACCAGCATCTAAGGAAATGGTTTCTGGTTTCTGGAAACTTAATCACAGCAGGGTGCTACATGCTATTAGGACCTGTCCCAGTCTTGCCCATTAAAAGGTAATTTTTTCTTCTTCTCTATTTTTTTGTCAAATAGGGTTAAGAATTATTTTTAAAAATTGATGTAATATGGATATAGCTTAGTATTTTGAGCCTTGTTATTGAAATAATTACCTTGATTTATGACTGTATCAAATTGTTAGACTAACAGTATTTTACCTTACTAGAAGCTAGCAGTGGTACAAACAGGAATCCATAAGATCTGTATCAAATGATAAATATGCTTATTTTCCCTTTGTGTTTCAATTATATGCTTGTTTGTTGTTGTCTTCCTTTGGTTGACAGTTCTTGGAATATGTTGTTGTTTTTGCTACTTCTCCTGACTCCTTAAGGCAGAGCCCAACTCTTTTTATTTCCTGTATCATCTTTAGCATGTAGTAGCTGCTCGTTAAAACTTGTTTAATATAATTTATTTGCTGAATACAGTGAACACATTACTTCTGGGATAGAGCACAATGTGGAAAAAGCAAGGATTTCAGAGTCCTACAGGTTGAGATTACACCCTGGCTTTGCCACTTACTAGCTATGTGAACTTGGGCAAACCACTTAACTGCCAAGACTGCAGTTTTCAAATCTACAAAAAAGAGTCAATAATAGTATTGTTGAAATAACTTTTTTTGCTCAAGAAGCCGCTCCTGCCTGGGGTCCCACACCATCAAACTGAAACTTAGATAACTTTTGTGTCCTTAACCAGAAGCACAGGCTAGCCAGTCAGCCAATCCCAAATGCCAAGCCAGTCCTGGCCCTTCTCACCACAAATGGCTTTGGCTATGTAGCACCAGCCAATCAGATATTTTCTAGTTGTTTCTTCCATGTTCTTTGTACTTTATCCTATCGAAGCTTCCTGCCTTCTACCCCATTTTTGCAGTCTCCGAAAGGAGACTGTTTGGATCACCCAAATTGTCTTCTTTAATCATTTTCAAACAGTCCTTACATCACAGGGATGCTGAGGGATTCAGCCAGGTAACGGATGTTGAGTAACTGGCACAGCACCCAATATGGTGCCAGTATCAGTTTCCTGTCACTTTACCACCTCTCTTCTTTGACATTTTTTAGTCAACTGAATTTCAAAACCAAGCAATTGATGGAACAACATCGGTACTGGCATATTCACCCATTTTGAAATGATTTTGTATGGTGATGATAAGGAAGGTTGACTCTAGACATGTGATATATGTGACAAAAGACACTGAGATATCAGGATAATTGACACCCCCCCCCCCCCCAATAAAAGGACCTAAATGATGCTGTCACTGAATGAAATGGGATCAGACGGCAGTGAGGACAAGAGCCCTGGAATCTGTGGAAGGAACTTCTCTGGGATCCTGCCTCCTCCTTATCATGAAGCTTTCTGTCTCTTAAAATGCTAACTTTTTTTTCTCCAAAACCTCTTTGCAGTCAGCTGTGGCTCCTGGTGCTAGTATTGGTCATAAATGGTGTCTCTGCCGGAATGAGCATAATCCCAACTTTCCCAGAGATTCTCAGTTGTGCCTAGTAAGTTACTTCCATTGCTTGAAGAGCTGTATATTGAATAGCTGTGAGCATCACAGGTTTTCTTGAATGTCTCAATTTTGTAAGATTCTGATTTTTTCACAATGCTAAATCTTTATGATTTCATCTCACAAACTATTGTGATATAAATAGTATGTGCAATAATACAATATGAGTGATCATATATAGTAACATTAATACAGTAATAGCTGAAATGAGTTGTGGATAGAGGCTTAGCTTGGTTTATGCCTCTGTACAGATGTACTTTTAAAAAACAAAGCAAAATGGAAAAAGCCTCAGCCATATTCCTCCCTCATAGAAGAGGTTCATGCAAAAGCATGGAGTGATTGGTAGAATAATTCTAGTACCAATTTTGACATGTGGGAGTTTTCCAAGCCGTTCTCTCCTATCAGCGTGGTAGCCTGCAATTCATCTCAGTTCTGACACGGGCAACCCAGAGTTAGCATCAGATTTCACAGGCTGAGCAAGCACTCAGTCCCACAGGACTGCCACGCTTCAGATGCTAATCACAAGCCCAGGTTATCACCTGTTCTGGACTGTCTACAAATCAGATGATCCCATGATCCCTGCCTTGGGCTTGGCTAATTTGCTAGAACAGCTCATGGAACTCCAGATACCAGATTACTTCCTAGATTATGGTTTACTAACAAAGAATAAAGGGCATGAATCAACAGCCAGTTGAAGAGATAGACATGGTGAGGTCCGGATCAAAGGCTCTTCTGTCCTCATGGAGTGTGGGGCCCTGCATGATGGCATGTGTAAGCATTCCAGGAAGTTCTCCGAACCCTGTCTTTTTGTTTTATTTATGGAAGTTTATGGAGGTTTTATTACTTAGGCATGGCTAAGTAATTAAATCCATCGACAATTGATTCCACCTCCAGCCCTGCTCCCCTCTCAGGGGTGGATGGTGTGGAAGGGGTAAAAGGGTGGGGGGGGACTGAAAGTTTCAACCCTCTAATCACAGGAATGGCTCTTTTGGCAACCAGTCACCATCCTTAGGTGTTTTCCAAAAGTCAACTTATCAATATAACAAAAGGCTTTTATATTGTTTTCCATCCGTTAAGAAATTCCAAGGACTTTAGGAGCTCTGTGCCAGAAACGGAATAAGATCAAATATATATTTCTTATTATAAGTCACGATATCATACCAGGAATTTGTCACTTGGCCATCAGTCTTTTGTTTAGTATGCATGATGATGTAGAACACAAAGGGAACTTGAAGGAGTTCATTTCAAAGTGACCTTCAGGAAAGGTATTGGTAGTAGGCCGTGTTAATTCAACGCCTCTCATAGAAATGAGGAGCTGCCCCTGCATTTCCTAAAAGTTGCCCATTGTTCTCTTTACATGTTCATCTCATTGTAAGAATTTCTTCATTATATATTTTTCTTTTTCTTTTTTTTTAAAGATTTTATTGATTTATATTTAGAGAGAGGGGAAGGGAAGGAGAGAGAGAGACATACATCAATGTGTGGTTGCCTCTTGCATGCCCTCTCCTGGAGACCAGGCTGGCAACCCTGGCATGTGCCCTGACTGGGAATCGAACTGGCAACCCTTTGGTTTGCAGGCCTTCACTCAATCCACTGAGTTACACCCGCCAGGGCTTAATTATATATTTTTGTGAGCATTTAGTGCAAATGGGTCATGATTCTTAATATCATGTCTCATATATGCAAGAAAATTAATTTTTAGAACACCATGAAGCAAACATCAGTATGAAAATCCTTCAAATTAGATTAGCTTTTTATCTTAGAAATGGAGTGTTCTTGCTGTTGGTTTTGTCCAGATTATCCCTGGTTTACTTTAACTACTATACAGTCTTTTTGTATCACTGAGGCTCCCCTTTCAATCACAGACACACCCTTGCCTCTCTTTGCAGTGAAAATGGATTTGAAGAAGGGTTAAGTACGCTGGCACTCGTGTCAGGCCTCTTCGGTGCAATGTGGTCAGTTGGGTGAGTAGCCATTGAATTTCATTTGCATGTGCCAGGTGGCAAATGCTTCAGCTAAATTACTGATGAGGGAATTGAGATACCAGAGGAGTTGCCCAAAGGCACAGAATTCATTTGGGGCAGAACCAGAATTTTAACCCATGGCCTCTGACTCTAAGGTCATTGGTTATGCCAGAAGTTTCAATATCTAATAAAAATGTTCCCATGCACTTTGTCACATAAAGATCATGTTTTTAAGTTCATTTATCAAGAGCATATCTCAGTATTTTAAATTTATTTATCTTTTACTCTCTACTAGACCAGAGGGGTAACTGGTATAGTTACCCCTTTAGTAACTCCGGTATAGTAGAGTTACCCCTCTGGTATTTCTTTTTTTTTTTTTTAAGATTTTACTGGTTTATTTTTAGAGCGAGGGAAAGGGAAGGAGAAAGAGAAGGAGAAAAACATCAATGTGTGGGCCAAAGCATTCTGGCACCAATGTATGCTGGCAATGTAGATATCCTCCATAAATGTGTATGGAATCAAGCTATTTATTTATTGTTTTAAAAGATTTTATTTATTTTTAGAGAGGAAGGGAGGGAGAAAGAAAGGGAGAGAAATATCCATGTGTGGTTGCCTCTCACACGTCCCCTACTGGGGACCTGGCCTGCAACCCAGGCATGTGCCCTGACTGGGAATAGAACTGGTGACCCTTTAATTCACAGGCTGGCACTCAGCCACTGAGCCACACCAGCCAGGGCTGGAATTAAGTTATTTTTAATACAAATACTCAGAAGAGTAGAGAGAATAATGTAAATATTATACAAATTTTTTTGAATGCCCGTCATCTTTTTTTTAGTATAAAGCATCAGCTTTTCATAAGCAGTTATAATTTTACACTTGTTTAAAAGATTTAAGCATCATCATTATGAAGTAAAAGTATTTTCTTAGTTCCAATGCTATGTCCAGGAATCGTCTTTTTTCTTTGGTACTCGGTTCCAATTTAATGAAGACCTATGACTGAAGGATCATGCAGCCTTTAGGAAGGAACTCTTATTTTCTCTCTTTTGGCGCTACTTAATACCCTTTCTTTCCATTGTTAGCGCCTTTGTAGGACCAACACTGGGTGGATTGCTGTACGAGAAAATTGGTTTTGAATGGGCAGCAGCTGTGCAAGGTCTGTGGGCTCTGACCAGTGTGAGTAGTCAGTCTTTTTTTCCCCTTTCCCTTGCATTTGTGGAGAAATGCTACTTGGAGAATTGACATTAACCAGTACCTTTAATTGTGTTGAAGGGATTAGTGATGGGCTTGTTTTACCTGTTGGAGTACTCAAGGAGAAGAAGGAGGTATGGTCAACTCTTGAGCTATTTTCTCCCTTTAAAAGTCATCCTGAGGGAATGAAGAAGAAATGATATTTTACCTCCATTCTTCCAGACAGCACATTTCTGGGCATTCCGGCCCTCGGGACTTGGTAGACACGTTTAAGGGGGTAGCTGGGTAGAGATGTAGGTATTGAGTCTTTTAAAGATGAGGAATATTGAGATTCTTCTTTTCTTGCCATCAATGTAGATCAAAACTTCAGAATACCCTTGGTACAGAGGAGGAACGAAGCACTCTTTTGCCTGATGAAAACCAGCCTTGAGAATTTTGGATTGACGCAAGGTTGGCAGATGGATGTGCCTGACCTTGAACATGAAAGTCGGAAAGTCTGAAGGGGTTTCTTGATTTTACGCACAGAGCTCCATGAACACTGTCCTGGCAGTAAACGATCTATGGCATCCTGGAAGTGAACACGTGTTTTTGGGTGACCCGTGATGGGGTGCACATTACTGTTGTCCTGCGAGGCAGGCCTGCAGAACCAGCCACATTTGAAGCATTATGTATGAAAAGAGTAGTTGAAAACCAACAAAACTTTGCCTTTTTAAGTGACAGAACTTGGGCTTGAAGATGGTTTTGGACCCTAGGTCTCCTGTTTTCCTCTGTTTACTTTTTATACTTGATGCACTGATTCTGTGCATGTACCTTTTTGTATTAACAAGGAAACAAATGATGTGCTTAAGAGAAAGAGATAACATGCTTACAGATAATATAAATAACTCAATATATGTAGAAAAATTACTATGAAATCAGTTTTTAAAAGATATACTTTATCTGTGTCCTGTGAGTTTTGTTTTTGCTCAAAGGCAAAATCCCTGCCTACCATGCAAAAAACTCTAACATTCCCTGGCCCTCGGCTTTTCTAAAAATTTTGTGTGTAAGATAGCATAGCATTACTTGAGACTTCCATTTTTGCAACATATTTTCAAGTAGGATCTGGATTTATAAACAATGCTTGGTGTAACATTCATTTCCCATAATCTCTGTTTCATGCCACGGTCCGGCCGCAGCTGGGCCCAGGGGTTCCTGAAAGGTGGGTAAGGCGTTGGCGATGGGAGACAGACGACAACACGCCTCAAAGGACGGTGATGCTCTGTTCTGTTTATTGCAAGTACAAGCAGGTTTTTATACTTTTATTTTTGGTAGTGATTAACATTTGCGATTAGGTGAAGCAGAAAAAAATTAATACAAAGGTAACCAGGAAAAGTACGAAAGTTTCCAAAGATTCAGCTATATTAAACAAAGATTGTTTTGACCAGGAGAGCCATAAATCAGACAATTAGAAATAGCTGTACGTACAGAGTTTGAATGTCTTATTTATTAAAGTTCTCAGAATTTGTCATGGGGCAAAAGGATACGCCAGATTGAGTAGAGGTTATAGGAAATTTACTATAAGGCCTTTGTGATGTCTAACTTAGCTATTTACCTTTTCTATCTAAAATGTTTCTCTATGCACAATGGACTCTGACTCCCTGGTAACTGTTTCTACGTGCTTAGTTTGTAATATCTAACCAGCCTTTCTTATTTCTTTGCCTGTCTAATTCTACTTGATATATATTCCTGTTCAAGGTAAAGGCAGGGCTGTTACTCCAACAACTTTTAGACATTCAGGGGCTATTTTATTAGAGGGGATTTTGTTCTCTGGTCAAGAAATTATTTTGTACAACTTCATTGAAATTATGCAAATCAATAAACCTGAAATACAGGTATCTAACAATCCCACCACCTTTTGATCACCAAAACAAACATGTAAGGAGAGATAAACAGGAAATCCAGCACAGTAAACCTTTTTTGTTTCTTAGTTAATAAACACCAGGGAGGTCTGCTTCGCTTCGAGCTAGCCTTTCCATGAAATTTAGATTATTATAAAGTGCTTGGACTCCATCCTTATTGACCATTCTAATGCCATCCTCATTATATGCTCCTGTATAAGGCAATGGGGTATCTGGAACCCTCTGGAGACTATTAGTTCCTCTTGGGGGATACCATAATTTGCCATTAATCCAATATGCTACCCAGGGGTATCCCTGGGCTGTGGGTAGGAGGTCTATATAGTTTTTTCTTGTTTTCTTGAAAGACTCTTTGTATCTATGGGTAAGGAACAGGCGTGGGAAAGTGCGCCAATAATTCAGCCTATTGTAACTGATTCATGAATTCTTTTATGGGAAAAATCGGGGATAATTTCTTATTCAGGTTTATAAACACCTTGTTTAAACAATTTGGGCAGGATTCAATAGTCTGGGGAGAACTAGTTGTCCCTTCAGAATTTCCCTCAAAGTTAATTGTTGACTCACTGCGAGCCTTTTTCTCCTCATGGCCTGTTCTTATGGGAATCAGGGTACAAAGTAAGACCATGATTAATATTAGCAAGGAAATTATTAAGAGCAATCCCCAGGAAAATTACCAACCCCCTGTGTATGCCACGCTCTCTTCCAGGAAGATGGATTCCTTGAATTCCCTCTTTCCACATTCAGACCTTGTCAAACAACATGATTGGAAGAGGGTGTGGCAGTTTCAGTTCTACCATCTTTTCTTTAAAACCATATTTCTAGTAGATGTATCCATTCCTAGAGCAGGAGATTCCACAGGATGCTTGTGTACTAGGAAAGGGGTTGCTCCAACTTCATGTAAAATCCATGCTATTGTTTGAAGAGAATTTCTATTATGCAACTCTCATATCTCCTGATCCATTTCTGTGGTTTAACAGCCACATTTGCCTTTTTTAAATAGAAGAAATGGTTTTATCTATTTACATATTCAAAAGTATTAAATGCCTTTTCTGAATTGATCCTGTGACAGGTGCTACAGATTTTGCTGTGATCAAGGTATACAATCTCTGCCTTTATCTAATTTATATTTCAGGGGAAAAGACAAACAATAGATAAATACCAGGATCTCTAATTGTCTTGTAGAGATGCTAGGAAGGAAAAAACAGGATAATGTGAGAGTGGAACTGGATGGGGTTGATTGGTGTGGGGTCCTAATTCATACAAGGCCTCTCTAAGGAGGTGGGACTTTTGAACTGAGATCTGAAGGGTGAGAGTGAGACAGCATTCTGAGGGGAAAGCAAACTATGTGTGCAAAGGTCTTGACGTGGTCAAAGATGCGACCTTGGCCTGCACATCTGGAGTCAAGTAAAGAAAGGAGGTTGGGGAAGTGTAGAGGGGCCCATTTTTAGGTGGGGATGCCAGAATTTGATTCGTATTTCAGACAGGTCATTGTGCAGGCATGCACATGTGAGTGGGGATGTGATTTAGCAGGGCTGGAGGGAGATCAATGGAAGATCCAGAGAGGCGTTAGTGGTTTGGATCAGGGATGTGGTGGTGGAGATGGAGAGAAAAGGATGTGTGTGGAAGTGGAACCAACAGGATCTGCTGATGCTGAGGGAAAAGGGGAGAGGAATTTAAGATGACTCCCAGGTTTTTGCCTGAGGGTATGGGTGTATGGCGGTACCTCCTAATGAGATGGGGAAGAAAGGGAGCAAATCAGATGCTGAAGGGCCAAATGAAACATGATGTGGTACCCTTTCACACCACCAAAGCAGGGAAAAAATATGTAAAGATGACAAAGCCAAGATCGGGGATGATGGAGAGCGACTGGCAGTAGGACAGTTTGGGGACACTTTTTTTTTTGGCATTAATTGCCAAAATCGAATATTCACAAATCCCATGAACTCTTCATTCTTCCGCTTCCCCCACCCCCTACATCTCTGCCCTGAGACCAGAGAGTGGTCCCGTGCTGCGGAGTGGGGGACAGCGTGGGAGGAAATAGGCGGTCACCAATCCCCCTTTCCCAAATCAAAACCTGGAAAGAGTGTGACTTTGGCTCACTGCATTCCTGTGGGGTGGAGAAGAGGTCCAGGCCCTGATGAGCCTAGCCTGGCTTCAGTGCTTAAATCACCCTGGTCCCGCTTCAATGCTCTTCTTCCTCGAGCACCGGCGCTTGCCTAGGCGTCCCCACAGCATCCACGCCCCCTCCGCCCAGGGCCAATGACACGCTCAGTGTCTGCAGTTCCGGACCTGCGGCACTCGGCGCTCGCCGCTGTTACTGCGCCTGGGGATTCGCCAGCAGCTTCCAGCCGAGCTCCAGCGGCTGCGACCCCAACTCCCCGACCGGCCTCGCCCTACTGGTCTCACTCAGGACCAGCAGCCTAATACCGTTACCAGCGCTGTTGACTGTTGAGAGTTCAAAGTCAACACAAAGATTCCAAGCTTTCTGGTGAGGGAACTTTTTTTTTAATTTAAATCATGTTTATTACTCTGATCAAAAGTGATACAATACAGTATGGTTTTATAGTCTGAATGTTTTATTCCTCATAGTTATACAGTCTGAACGACTGGCTCACAGTCCAAGACAGTTTTGTTTTGTTGTTTAAAATGACGTTAGTGCTGTAGGGCAAAAAGATCTCGCTGACAGAAACAATGATATTTAATTTAACAAAATCAAGAAGAACCTGCCGGTACCACACAGGTTGCAAAGTGGCTCCAAGCAAGGCACTCCCCCACCTCACAGCAAAGGGGATCAAGAGCTAAAAATACCTAGAAAACTCAAACGGCACCTTGTAACACACTGTAAGATAAAGGCCAAGCTTGTAAATTATTAATCCACGATGCTCCAAAGCGAGTGAATTAAATACAAGGCTAAAATCTGGTGAATCTTCTCCTTTACTCATCTTTGTGAAATGTAGTTTTTCTTCGGGTGGGACTGGGACACTCCTTTACTTCCTGGGTCACCAAGGATGTTTTACAGCCTTAGGTCTAATCAGTTCATTGTTTGGAGACAAGTGATCACATTCTGCTTTTAACAGTTGTTGTTGGTGCTTAAGAATCCGCCAGGAAATCCCCTCCTCTGCAGAGCCGCTGGGCGTGGGCGGAGATCCCGTAGGGAGGCCATAGGTCGCCCAGGATTTCCAAGTTCCTCACCGGGGCCCTTCTGCCCATTAGGGCGTCAGGGCTTCTGTTGTCCGTTTCCAAGCTGCAGCAGTCTCTGGTCGCCGCCTGGCTTTGAGGATCAAAGTCATCTCAGAGCGGTGCACACCCCAATGCACGCACCTCGCGCCGCACGCACCTCCGCTGGCTCCCGGGACGCTGGGAGGCGCGGACCTCGGAGACACTGGGTGAGCTGGGTCAGAGGGCTGCAGGGTGGCGAGAGCTGCTGTGTTCTCTAGAGCCCGGAGCTTCTAGGCTCCAGCAGCTTCGCACACCAAGCGCACGCCACGCCCCCTTCTTAAGGGGGCCTTGGCCCCTGGACAGCCCGGCTCTCCACGTGGACCCCTGGGACCGCTGGGCAGGCGGCACGAGCGGTAGGATAGCGCTGTGGGCTCAGCCGGGAGCGGCTCACCTCTGGTGAGAGAACTTTCTCTTTCCGTTCCCAACAGGCTGCTGTCAACACCTGCCACAGTGGATCCCAGTGTATGTATTTAAAGTCGCTTTGTGAAACTAACCTTGTCCTGTCCTCATTTTGTGATTTTGCTAGTAGTATTAAAATAAATGACAATAAAAGCTAAAAATATGGGGAAGAGGATAGAAAAAACTTGAGCAAAAGGCAGGACAAACTATCAAAGGATATCATTATGTGCATTTATATTTTTATATATTTATGTTCTTCTAAATGTAACAAAGGGGCCCAGTTTAAAAGAATCCTCTTGTGAAAGGAAACTAACTTATGTAGCTGATTGTAGGATATAATAATAATTAATAAATTATATATTTTAGTTAAGATCCCATTGCAACTGATATACATATATAATCAAATTAATCAAAGGGAAAATAAAAAGGGCAAATAAATCACATTGTTTTTGATGAAACTTTCTATATTTGTGGATTATTGTTGATTCACATGCAGTTGTAAGAATTAATGCACAGAGGTCACATATACTCCTTACCCAGTTTTCCCCAATGGAAACATGTACAACATCATAGTACAACATCACAGCCAGGATATGCTGATGGAGTCAAGAGACAGAAGATTTCTCATCCTTCATGTTACCCTTTCATAGCCACATCCAGTTCCCTCACCCTCACACTCTCTTTACTCTCTGGCAATCACTGATCTGTTCTCCATTCCTATAATTTTGTCACTTCAAGAACGTTGTACAAATGGAATCACAGAGTACGTTGGTAACTTTGAGGACTGGCCTTCTTTTCATTCAGTGTAATGCTCTTAAGATTCATTACCATTCTGAAAATGACCACCATGAACTCAGCTGTTGAGTGACTTCAGACAGGTTTTTTCGTTTAAAAGAAAACCAGTGTAAATAAGTATTTTATTTGAGCATAATATGTTTTCTTCATACACTTTCAGAACTTTGGGCTATATTCATTTCCTTATTGTTTTCTGTTTTATCACTATTGCTGGGGTGCTTTTGCCTCTTGTTCACTTAGCTGATAAACATCAGAGTCACTCGGTTGTTGGTGAGTCCATTCCTAAGAGCAAAGTCCTGCCTCTAGAAGTGGAGCATGAATGGTGGGAGGGCAGGGCTGTGCATTAGGAAGTGGTGCTATCGTCTCATAGTAAGAAAGCAGCAGCGCTGGGTTATACGCATGCCCTTTTATTTTCTGAAAAAAAAAAAAATCTTAACGTAAAGCAGCAGTATTAATTGGAAAAAAAATGTATAGGGAAGGAAGACCTTCCCACAAGTTCTTTGTTCCTGTAGCTGGGGAATTCGTCTTAACACAGCTCTCAAAACTTTGGTCAGTTGATTGAGAAGAGCAAGCACTCCCACATGGATACTACACATTAATTGGTCTTCCATAGAAATGTGTGCCAATTAGCAGAACTTTGGCACATGACTCAGATGCCAGGTGTTCAAAACACACAAATGCAAGACTTCTGCTTTTTTTCTCTGTCTTTGCATATAGTAATTTTGGTTAATGGTGCCGCCTATCAGAAACTGAGTAACAGATCATACAGAAATTCTTGCACTAGGGCCTCTGAACCGTCCACCAACATTGTCCTGTCCTCTTCCAGAACTGGGAACAGGATGTAGGTGCTGGGATTCTGCCCCATCTCCCTGTTTGTTTCTCCACCTGGGACAGGGGGTAGTGTCATGATTAGTTTTTTTTTCTTTCTTTTTGTTTCCCCCAGAAACTGCCAAGCTTGTTTTGCAGGGTGGCTGGCTGTACCATTTCACATTCCCGACGGCCATGCATGAGTAATCCTGCTTCTCGGTAAACTCTGTGTGTGTGTTTGTTTTGTGGGTGTGTGCTTTTTAAAAAATTGTATGGTGTATGAATTAAGGAATTGGAACTATTGATCAAAGGGAGAGTCTAAGGTAGAGTTGGACAGAAAACATTCAAAATTAGCTGGTAGAAATTGACTTTACGTTAATAATTTAATAACCATTCAGGGCAAATTGACATAGAAGAGAGAAAACACGAAAGACTTTGTGGAAAGGCACAGAACAATGAGAAAATAGAGAATATGGACTGGTTGATGTTCTTTTAGCAGATTAGTAGCTAAGAACAAGTGGGCACAGGAGCAGAGAGAATTAAAGACCTGGGTCGGAGCTGTACTAGTCACTGCCCTCTAATAGGGCCATCATCTTGTGGTGTGAAGCAATAATGACAGCAACAATTATTCAGCACATATTAGCACCTTTATGCAGGTGAGGGAAACTGTGGTACTGAGAGGATGTATCACTTACTCATAGTCACCCAGCTAGGAAGTGATTTCAAACCTAGGCATCCTGGCTTCAGGGTCCATGCCATTAAGCATTACTCAGTGCCATCGTAAGTCTCGTAACTAAAGTGGGAAAAATTCATGCCATGTAAGTTATCTGTAATTAGATGCAGAACCATACAGAATTTAGTTATGTCCATTTGGAGGAAAGTTCTAGAGTGGATCTATATTATGATAATGAAAGAATAATGTGCTAAAGAGAAAGAATGTGATATGAATATAAGAGTCAACTTAGGTCTCAAGTGCTAAAAAATGGCTAGCTTCTATTGCTCTGTTGCTTCTCCTGGCCATTTGGACATTGTTTAGTCACAGTCACATGATTCCATCTGGCCTGTGTTACCTGGTTTCTAAGACTGCTTGACAGAAAACCCCACATGTCAGAGTTGTCTAGCTAGGATAAAACAAATACTCCCTCTCCTAGTGCTAAGGGAGCAGAACCTTCTGGCCAGGTGCTGCTCACCCAGAAAGCAAACCAAAACAAGAAGTCAAGGGTGATGGGGGCAGCCACAGGCCTGGGAAAGAAGAGAGCAGATGGCATCCAGGGGAGTGGAAGGCTTCACCTAGACAGACCTGTAAGTGTTTAGGTATCTTAGGCCTCAAACATGCTTTTTTACGTCCCTGCCCATTGGAAATGAAGACGATGAATAACTGGTGAATTATTGTGAAGCTCTTGTGAAGGAAAACAGGGCTCCTTGGCAGATCTGACAAGCTCGGGGCTACCTGGCAGGCCTGACAAATTCAATAACCACACGGGATGTTCTGCTCATAAAAATTCCAACTGAGCAGGTGATAATGGGAAGTCATGCCCTAAGGCCTATATGATAGATTCATCTTTATGTTGAACAAGCCCTGTTCATTGGTTTTGTGCAACAAGGGTAATATACTTAGAGTGGCAGAATGATCCGATCTCTCCTCCAGACCTGCAGAGATAAACACCAGGTGCTGGGGCCAGACCACCCCAACATCCCTTGTTGCTACCCTTTACCTGCATGCCTCTGTGCGTTATGTATGTTAAACGTTAACGACCCTGCACCCGCCAATGTAAAACAAGCATGTATCTCTTCATTTTTATTTTTTATTCAGTGCTAGAGATATTCCCACTCAGCCGCCTTCAGCCTCCTTAATTTGTCACCAATAGATTTCATCTAACCTTCCTTCCATCTAGCCCTTTGATTTTAATATATAAAATAAACTACAAAACTGCTACTCCCTGGAGCATTTTCTCAACTCTGAGATTTTGATTGTGGGTCTGGCCCTTAGTCTTGACTCAGATAAATTCTTTGAACCTTTTATAGATTTGAACTTTCTTTGGTCAACAGCCTTGCATTGTGTGATTAAAAAATAAATGTACTACAGCTTGACACTTTAGTATTTTTAATCTGTCATTTCATTTTACCCCTCTGTAGTACATGAGATACCAGTTTTGTTTTTTCACCCGACCCTTTCAAATGTTTGTTTTTATAACTGCCAACATGTGTGACTTTGATCCAGTCCCTTTGGATTTATTTCTGTTGTCCTAAAAGTAAGGCGGTCATCCTTACTTTACCAAAATCTTTAAATCCAGCTGTCTTAATCCATTTGCGCTGCTCTAGCAGATACTGTAGACTGGGTGTCTTATAAGCAACAGAAATTTACTTTTCACATTTCTTGAGACTGGGAGGTCCAAGATCAAGGCGCCACAGATTCAGTGTCTGGTGAGGATGCACTTCCTAGTTCAGAGACAGCATCTTCTTATTGTATTCTCACAAAGCAGAAAAAGCAAGGAGGTTCCCTTAGGACTCTTTTGATGAAAGCAGGAATCCCATATTCGAGGGCTGCATACTCATGACATAAACACCTTTCAAAGGCCCGGCCTCCTAATATCATCACACTAAAGGTTGGGTTTCAACATACGGGGTATGAGGGGACACAAGCATTTAGTCTATAGCACCAACCAAGGGAATTTTTAAAAGTTGTTTTTGATGAATGCAATGAACTTTGGTCAGAGTTGGATCAGAAATAAAGTTAATGATCTGCAATTGAAATCATCAAGAAAGCTGGTTACTGTTTTACTTTTGAAGGAGTGGAGGCCCTCAGTGTGGGAGCATGCTACCAGTTCAAAGGGACTTCCGCAGCTCAGTGGCCCACAGTCCCCATCTTCTGAGAACAGAAAGCAGAGTGTGGTTTGAACCACATGAAATTGCTGCTGCTATAGGTCAAAATCAGCAGGCCACTGGCAACTTCCTGTGACACAACCCTTTCCAGCCAGTAGGGCATGCCATGGCATTACTCTCAGATTTTCTTTTGGTTTTAGTTGCATTTGCTGTCTGCAGAGTTGAATACCCATCCAAGTCCAGAGCCTCACCTGGGTGGGACCTGGGACCAAAAGATGGTTAAAGTTCAGGCTGGTTCTCCTCAAGCTGACATTTCCTTCCAAAAAGACAGATTCAAACAATCCTCTGAAGATACATGAAAGCCTTCAATGGGGGCAGGGACAGAAACATTGTTTTTTACCACGGTGTATATTTTTGGGTATAGTACTATTCTTGTTTCTCTTTTTTTCTGGTATACAGTTATCAGAAGAATAGTTTGAAAAGCAGAACCTGTTTTTCTTGCTTCATATTTTGATGTGTCATCCTCGCTGCCTATGAGGACATGCTGTCAATCAATGTGCATGCTATTTCCAACTCTTCATTTCTCAGCTCACTTGATGCCATTTCATTTCCGGGAGGGCGGCCAGACTAGGACGTCCTTCAGGCTGTGGCAGAGCCAGAGGCTTCTCCTCACCATCCCGAGTTCCTCGGTGTCTTTGTCATGTCGTCATCACGTGGCTGACGTGCATCTGCTCTGTCCTGCTTGGCAAGATCCAGGAGTTGGTGCCCAGGTACCCTGTCCCCCATTTCATCCCCAGCACCCCAAATAGACCAGATTCATTAAATTGGATAAGAGTTGTTCTGAGGGCCTAACAATGAAATCACTGAGCAGTCAGGATTATTACATTACTCTATTGTCACCTGTTTGTGTTAATGATTGTCATCTCACCCCAGTCTTACAGAGAATGTTCATGTGTCTTTGACTCTCAGAATAACCTTGTGAAGGGGATATAGCAGGTATGTGGCAATGATTTTTCACATGAGAGTCAGTGTAGTTACATTTTCTTTCTGTTGATTAAAGGGTGCAATTTTACTACATTTGAATTTTGTTTTCCTGAAATTTTACCTCAGATTTTATCAGTAGTACATGTTGAACAACCTTTGTAATACTTTTTGATTGTATTCATTTAATGACAGTATTTTTTCCCTCAAAAGTGGTTGGGTATAGCATTCATAGGAGTATTAAATAAGGACTGAATAGCTGGCAGCCATGCGTTACATAAATATACCGCCCTTTATAAATGCTCCATCGATATTACTTGCATTTTCAGAAATCTCTAGACCTTGGCCATGACCACTTCCTCCCTTCAAACCTCGGTGGCAGTTTTTGCCCTGGTTGCCCTGCATGTCAGTGCCCTGGATACATTTATAGCTGCAGTGTATGAACACGCGGTCATATTGCCAAAGGAAACAGAAACACCTGTTTCTCAGGACAATGCCTTGCTCCTTATGAACAAGAATATAGATATTCTGGAGAAAGCGATTAAGCAGGCAGCTCAGAAGGTATTCTTTTATTTCTACTCATCATAATTTATGTTAGGGATGTGAGATCTGGTGGAAGATTAAAGGGTTGCATTGTCTGGGTTACACATGGAGAGATGATTTGGATTTGACTTGTTTCAAACAGGGTGCTGAAATTATTGTGACACCAGAAGATGCACTTTATGGATGGAGTTTTACCAGGGAAACCATTTTCCCCTACCTGGAGGATATCCCAGACCCTCTGGTGGACTGGATTCCATGTCGAGACCCCCACAAGTATTTTATCTACCCACATTGTTTGTGCAAAAGTGCTATAATTCTTTAAAATGTGCATGTTCACCACAGCAAAATGATAAATCTTGAGTTATCATGTATATGCTATATGTTACTGTTATATTTATCTTGTCATTTGTTAGTTTTAAATAATTACACTTATATACCATTGAATAATTACTTATAATTTATAGCTTCATTAAATTTGGAGAAAATATGCAAACAGGACTACAGACTATGGGGAACAGGATCTCATAGATACATAATTAAGTAGTAAATTAATTTCTGAAGTGGACAGTGGGTTGTGTTTGGAAAATATTTCAATGTGTCTATTTGAGGGTACCATATTGCAATTTTATAGAGTCTCTGTTTTGGAATCTGCTTCTCACACAGAAAGACCTCATCATGTACTTTCTAGTGAATGATAAGACCTTATACTTTGAAAGTTTGCATTTTCTTAGGCTCATAAAGGTAATTCTCCTGGGAAAAAGTAATCTAGAAATGGTCTAGTATAAAATACTTAATAGATGTAGGTGTATATTTACTATATAAATCCTACTTCCTAGTAAGAGCTTATTGAGGTACAGATTTGCACACTTCAAAACTTGCAGTAAAACATCTCTCTCTCCATCACACTTATTCTTACTCACCTCTCAGATCCTCTCACTCTGTTACCCTTTCACACTCTCTTGCTCTTTTACCTGAAATTAAGTTTATCAAATATTCCTCTGCCATATTATTTCTGGGGAATTATGGCTACCACACTTTTTTAATCATTCCTGGCTCTTCTGACATTTATATAAGGGCTATCAGGAAAGGACATTTCTTTGCTCTCCAGAGCACAGGTGAGAATATTGGATTGCATGACACTTGATAGTTCCATCTTCCCATCGTTCCTGTTCTGAGCTGATCACTCTATGTGTTTGCAAGAAATGTTCTTTTGTGCAAACAAAAGGCCAATTGCTGGACAGTTTTTCTGCACAGAAGTTTTAAGAACTGGGACAAGCCATTTATTTTTAATCTCACAGTGGGGTTGAGTTCTGGATTTCCTGTTAAAAACAAAACATGTTGCAATGTTGTGGGTAAGTCAAAGATCACAGTAACTATGGGAACTAGTAAATGTTGGAGGCAGGGCTTTCCATATAGTTAGTAAATGCCTCTTTTATAGCCCCAGAGTAGAAGGAATACTTTTTGACAGAAAATGGCCTTGCATTACCACCCAGCACAGTCAAATTTAATTCATCCATTCAGTCATTGTTTATTGAGCACCTGCTGTGTGCCAGATACTATTCTGGGAATAGGACAGACAATACTCAATAAAACAAAGTCTATGCCCCATGTTTGGGTGATGAATATTTTGTGGAGGAAGAAAGATGTAAACAAACTCATTTGCTCTATAGAATATGTTGTGATAAAAATAAGGGAAATGTGGTACTTGGGTGGGATGAGGTGTAGGACCTATTGTGGTTATTTTTATTTTATTTTATTTAATCTTTATTGTATTTTTTCCATTACCTATTGCTGTTAGTTTTAGATTTGGATTGACTAGGGAGCTTTCAGTGAGTATGGCTTGAGTGCATTGTGGGAGAGACATTGTGAGATGAGGTCAGAAGGCACTGTGCTGTGGGGGTGCTGCAGATGCAGGGGTGCCCAGCCTATGGCCTGTGGGCTGCCTGCGGCCCAGGGTGGCTGTGAATGCAGCCCAACACAAAATTGTACGTTTATTTAAAACCAGTTTTTGCTCACCAGTTTTCATTAGTGTTTGTGTACTTAATGTGTGGCCCAAGACAACTCTTCTTCTTCTAGTGTGGTCCAGAGATGCCACAGGTTGGACACTTCTGATAGGGTCTTGAAGTCTATTGTAAAAACTTTGGTTTTTACTCTGAGTGTGATGGGGAGGAACTGGCAGGGTTTAATTCCAGGAGTGACTCAATCTGACTCAAGCTCTAAAAGCACCACTCAGGTTTCTATATTGGGAAAAGACCTGGAGGGTAATGACAAAGCAGAAGACCATTTAGGAAGCTGTTGTAATCATCCTGCTTAGAGCTGATAGGAGCTGAAACCAGGTTGGAATTGGTGGAAGTGGAAAGAGGCGGTCAGAGTAGAGATATGTTCTAGAGGTCAAGGTGACAGGATTTGTTGCCAGATTGGAAGTATGAGAGAAAAACAAGCTCCAAGAGTAACTCCCAAGTTTTCGGCCAGTGAAGCTAGAGACATGGAATTGCACTTGCAGATATAGGGAGCACTGAAGAAATAATATTTCTGCAGGGGAAATAGGAAGTCAATTTGGTGCATCTTAAGTGTGAGATGTCCTTTAGACAACCAAGTGGAGATGTCAACCTGGTATGAAAGGACAAGGTCAAGGCTGGAGGCAGAAAATCAGGAGTCAGCATATAGAAGGTTTTGACACCATGATGGTTTCACCTATGGAGTCAGTTAGAGAAGAGAAAGGGTCTAATACTTGAGATCTAGGAAATTCCAATGTTTAGGCTCAGGAGAGATGTGGAGGAGCCAGGCAAGGAGAACGAGATGAGGAGCCAGTGAGCAGGAATGTGTGGGGTCCGGTAAGCCAGGCGAAGGGTTTCCAGGGGGAGGGTGTGTTTAACTATGGCAATGGCTGCAGACAAATGGGATGAGACCAAGTAAAATGTGGTCTTCATTGGCAGTAATAAGAATTGTCTGTTGGGATCATGAAAAGGAAAGCTGATTTGAGAGCTTCAGAAGAGAAAGGGGAGAAGACAAGCTGGGAAGCACAAGATTGACAGTTTTTTCTGGGAGCTTTGCTGTGGGAGGGAGCTAAGAAATTGAGCAAGATTTAGAGAGGCATTTGGGTTCAAGAGAAGTTTCTATTTCATTTTCTTGTAAATGAAAGATACGAGAGCATGTTTGCATGCTGACGGAATGATCCTATGGAGGAGACAACCAATGATGCAGGAGAGTGAATGATGAATGGCCAGAGCAACAAATACAATGTGGAAAAAAATTCATGAAGTTTAAGTATAATTTGTGGCTTTTAAAATATGATACTTTTCATACATGGTTTTTATACTAACTTCAGTTACACTTAGGCTCTTACTGTTATTTTTTTAATTAAGTTTTTTTAATTACCACTGACATTCAGTGTTATATTAGTTTCGGGTGTACTGTATAGTGGTTAGACATTCAGATGACTTAGGAAGTGATACCTCTGGTAAGTCTAGTACCCACCTAGAACCATACCATAATTATTATAGTACTATTGACTGTATTCCCTATGCTGTATTCTACATCCTTGTGCCTATTTCATAACTGCCAATTTGTATTTCTTAATCCTTTCACCTTTTTCACCCAACCACCAACCCCCACCTCCCACCTGGCAACCATCAGTTTGGTCTCCGTATCTAGGAGTTTGTTGTTGTTTACATACGAAATGACTAAAATACATTTTAAGTTGAAATGCCTTTTTAATTGAGATATAACTGACACATAATATTGTGTAAGTTTAAGGTGTATAATATGTTAATGTAAGACATTTATATATTGCAATATGATAACCGCCATAGCTCTAGTTAACCCGTCTATTATGTCATATAACTATCATTTCTATTTCATGGTGAGAACAATTAAGATTTAGTCTCTAAGCAACTTTGAGGTTTATAATATACTATTGTTGGCTATACAGTAATCACTATCCTGTGTACTAGATCTTCAGGACTTACTTACCTACTAGTTGAAAGTTTGCATCCCAATTCCCCCAACCCCCAACCCCTGGTATCCACCATTCTACTCTGTTTTTCTGAGTTCAGCCTTTTTAGATTTTACATATGAATGACATTATGCAGTGTTTGTCTTTCTCTGACTTGTTAAAATTTGATTTAGATTTGGTCACACACCTATACAAGTGAGACTCAGCTGCCTGGCCAAGGACAACTCTATCTATGTTTTGACAAATATTGGAGACAAAAAGCCATGTAAATCTAATGACCCCACCTGTCCTCGTAATGGCTATTATCAGTACAATACCAACGTGGTCTATGACAAAAAGGGACAACTGGTGGCACGCTACCATAAGGTAAGGGGGGCATGTAAAGGGGCACCTGTTGTGAGAGCCGTGAATGCCGTGTGTAGGATCTTGAGCTTCATTCCCTATGTATGATGTTGTTAGAGATTTTTTTTAAGGCAAGCACTGAAGAAAATCACATTTTAGAAACACACTAATCTGGAAAAAAATGGACAAAGAACTATTAGAAAGATGTTGCAATAGTCTAGAATTGAGATAAATCCTTTGTACATAAAAAATAATTTTAATATTAACTCAAAGGATACCAAAGTGACCATAATCTAGATACCATTCAATACTGACATGATACCAAGGTGTTTCCAAATTCTATGAATGAGTTTCACAGATTTCCCTATTTTCTATCAAGTTACAAAAATGACCTTTTTCTTTATTTTCTATGCCATTTCATTTAAATACCCTCTTATGGATTTAAAGTCAGATAAGAAAATTTTTACTTTAGACTCTGAATTAAAAGAACAAAATAAACTTAAGCCGTGATTTTATACTAAATTGGGCAGGGAGAGATGTTCCGGCCTTCTAAAAGATATGAGATATGCACGGCAGTGTGTGTGCCCCCTTCCTCCCTAGACTGGCTGTAAGCACTTTCAGTTGTAGCCTCAGGACCTTCTGAGTGGAGAACTAATCTGCCAGAAGGCCTGGTTAAAATATAAGTATTCGTCAAGTGGAGTGGTATTAACCCAATCATTTTCAAATGTTTTTTTTTTTTACCATGTACTGCTATAGAGAAAAATTTTAACTTGAGTTGTCAATATATGTCTATTTAGTTTTGTATTTATAAATAAAACCCGTAACTTTCAAACAGCTTTCTTCATGATTTTGTGGGTTTTGACAACTTCTTTTCATTTGTAATTAAATTTGCATATTCTCCTAAAAAATGTTGTCTCATGTTAGAAATACAAATATTGGCTCTTCCATTTTTTGTTACCTAGACTTTGCAGTATTAATATTATTTTTAATACACTTCCTTTGCAAGAGTCATTTTAAGTATTCTGCCATTCTGCAAGTGTTTATTTAGTTCCACTGGTAGCACAGTTGATCAGTCCATTTAACTGGGCCCAAGTAAAGTTCAGGACAGCGCAGTGCACTGAGTGTGGACACGTGAGGGAGGAACCTCTGGTCACTCTAAACCAAGGGGCTCTCCCTGTCCCCTCAGAGTACTTTAGTAAAGTTCAATTTCTTTTTCATTTTTCGATAGAAAATAATTGTAGGAAGAAACTTTAATAGTCTCGCTCCTAAACCTCTTCATTCTCTACTTTGCAGACCATTTTATTAAACTGCTGACTGTAATTATTGCATTAGACTAGGATAGTTGTTTAAGTTTACTTGGAAGGAATCAGGGAAGAGAGACAGAGAGAGAGAGAGACTACATTTTCCTTGGACTTCCACTTCTGATTACCAGATTAATTCATTTCCTACAGAGTTGCTGCTGCTGACCATAGCCAAATCTATTACTAATTTTGGAGGGCTTTTACAAGTCATCCCTTCGATAAACAAGGTTTTCCTGGTTTGATCTTGTGCATTTGTTACAGTACCACCTCTATTCTGAGCCTCAGTTCGATGTGCCTGAGAAGCCGGAGCTGGTGACTTTCAACACCAACTTTGGAAGGTTTGGCATTTTCACATGCTTCGATATCCTCTTCCATGATCCTGCCGTGACGCTGGTGAAGGATTTCCATGTGGACACCATACTGTTACCCACAGCTTGGATGAATGTTTTGCCCCTTTTGACAGCCATTGAATTCCATTCAGCTTGGGCAATGGGAATGAGAGTCAATCTTCTTGTGGCCAATACACATCATGTCCGCCTAAACATGACAGGTAATTTATGATCAGATGAGGCTTGCAGATAATACGTCTAAATGCAGAGAAACTAGTGCTCAGATGTGAGCTGTCATACTTTTTTGCTTCTCTATTGGGACTAGCCACTGTATTTTCTGACTTTTCTCATGAAAGGAAAGCCTAGTGACTGGTTTTAACTGCTCTGCTTGTGTTACGACCTGTATGTGCATTATTTCCTTTATCCTCCCAACAGCCCTGTGGGCTGAGCATCACCGTCCCACTCTGACAGATTACAACACTGGGACACAGGGAGCGCAAGGACCTTACCAAAGCTCCCTACTAGTGAGTGGGAGAGCCGGAACTACACCAGATTTGCTCAGTCATGGGCAAAGGGCAGAGGCATGTATTACTGACATGTTGTATACCTTCAAAGCAAACACATTACCTTCAAAGTAAAAAGTGGCTTAAAACAACACACATTTGTTATCTCACTTTTCCTACTGGTCACAATTTAGGACCAGGTTAGCTGGGTGATCCTGACTCAGACGGTCTCTTCAGGTTACATCAAGCTGTTAGCTGGGTTAGCAGTCACAGGGAGTCTCCAGCAGAGCTGCTGCACATGGCTATATTGGCAGGTCTCGTAGTTTCTCAGGGGCTGTGGGTGGGAGACCTTCATTTCTTGCTACTTGGACCTCTCCATAAGGCAGTGCGCTATGTACTCATGACATAGCAGCTTACTTCTTCCAGATTGCGCATGTGTGCACAAGCGAGATAGAGAGAGAGAGAGAGAGAGAGAGAGAGAGAGTGAGAGAGCGTGTGCACTGCACTGCTGTTTATGACTAGTCACACACCGTCACTTCTGCAGTCTCCCATTCATTGGAAGTGAGTTGCAAAGTGCAGCTTGCACTCAAAGGCAAAGGAATTAGATCTACCCATTGGAGAGAAGGGTGTAGAAAAATTGGGGTAATTTTAAAACACCACTGTAGTGGGGAACAGGAGAGAATTTTGAATTGCCTTTCCCTACCTTTCATGAACTCCCCAATACAAACATTTGTATATCTGATTGAATTTTCCATCATGCTCATAAGCATTCTCGTTATATTCAAAGTTTGTTTGACACGAGACATCGAACACCTGTTTAATTCCTCCAGGAGAGAATAGAAGTGCCTGGGTGTTCAGCGTGACCGGAGGCCTGTGTGCTGTCTCACTGTGATGAACTCCGGCACATGAGCGCATGCTCAGTTCTGAGGGGGAAACTGGCAGTGTTGCTTTTAAAAAACTCACTTTCTGTCCACAGGCAGTGGCATTTATGCTCCACACTCTCCCAAAGCATACCATTATGACATGGACACAGAGCTGGGAAAGATCCTTTTTGCAGAAGTGGACTCGCATCCTCGAAGCTCCCCTGACTTCCCAGTGGCCGTGAACTGGGGTGACTATGCCACGACCATCAAACCATTCCCAGTACAGAAAGGCACTTTCAAGGGATTTATTTCCCGGGATGCGTTCAACTTCACAGAACTTTCTGCAAGTGCAGGCAACCTTACAGTCTGTCAGAAAGATCTGTGCTGTCATTTAAGCTACCAAATGTCAAGGAAAGAAGAGAATGAAGTATATGCTCTAGGAGCTTTCTCAGGACTTCACGGCCGCAGGAGAAGAGAGTACTGGCAGGTAACCTCAGCTCCAGTGAAAGGGAGTGTTTAGGTATCAGTAAATTACAGGGTTCCCTTTCATTTGTGTCCCAGAGGGCCAAGTCCTTTTACTCTGCACAACTCCACACTGCCAGTATTACACACACATGCACGTACACACTAGGAGTAATTGTATGATATTTGCAATAGGAGTTAAGTACAATATGATTGCTTGCTTTGAGCACATTTTTAAAAAGTATTAACCTAAAACTCACAAAAAAGAAAAAAAGTATTAACCTGACCATGATAACTTTGTATTTGACTAACAAACTAATGTACATTTATAGTGTAACTCAATAAAGCTTTCTTATGTAGTTTTGCTAATGTATCTGAATATAAAGTCTTGTTTTGATTTTTAAAACCAACAACGAATAGGGATAACAACTTTATCTTAGTTTCTCTTGTAATCAGATGTACTGTTCATTTTATTCCCTCCCAATGACAAATACTTAAAATTCAAACTTTTCATATAGTGTTGGCTATGCATTTGTATCTTCTTATTATCCTTTGTGCCCTCACTGCCCTCTCTTTAAACAAGGGTGTGGAAAAACAGTAATGGTGAAAATTTTAACCATCACTTTAGCTTTGGTACTACGGTTGCCAAAAGACCTCTACTCTATTGGGCCAACTAATCATCTGGTGTGCCAAACTAACGGTTTAAGTCTAATTCTAAACTGGCTTCTTTCCTTCAATCCATTTGTTACCCACAAAGTGGGGTGAGTTCTCAAATCATTTGCCATTTCCAATAAAGCTGGTAATAATAAAAAACATGACCCAAATCCCTTTATCAGATAGAGAAAATATTTTTTTGTTGTAGTTATAAACTGAATCAGCTGTTGTAGTACAACTGAGATGTAAGGTATTGCACTTTATCTCCATCTGTTCTACATAGGTGTGCACAATGCTGAAATGCAGAACAACTGATGTGACAACCTGTGGACAGCCAGTAGAAACTGCTTTGACAAGATTTAATGCATTCTCTCTAAGTGGCACATTTGGGACAGAGTATGTTTTTCCTGAAGTGCTGCTTACTAAAATTCGTCTGTCACCTGGAAAATTTGAGGTAGGAGGATTTTAAGAGTATTTTTATTTTCTCTGTTTCTGAAGCCAAGTAAAATAGGTTATGGCTACTGTATTGCTTAACTTTTACTGTATAGCAAACTTTCTCATACCTGAATGGCTTTAGATGATACCCTTTTTAGCCCTTTGTGGCTGACAATGTGAACTGAGTGCACCTAGGCTGTCTTTCTGGTTTGCCACAGACTTAGCTGATCTTGGCTAGGCTCATTCATGCATCTGTCTCTACTGGTGTATTGGGCTGCTTCTGATGGCCTTGTCTTAGACTGGTGGGATGATTGGGGCCACTCTCTCCCTGTGGTCTCTCCTCTTCCAGCAAGCTCAGGCTTGAAGGAGCCCAAGAGCATCAAGAGGGAAAGCCACAATGGGCAAGTTTTTCTCAAGTCTCTGCTTGCACCGTGTTTGCAAATGTCTCATCAACCAAGTTGTGTGACCAATGTAGTTTCAAGGGTTAGAGAAATAAATGATGTGATCTCTCAGTGAGCTGTAAAATCATGTTGCAAAGGGGCATGGATAATGAAGAGGAAATATTTTGGCCATTTTTACAATAACAAGTAATTCTAAAGTGATGACACTTTGTTGGGATAATATGATAATGTACCTAAAACCTACTAGCTCAAGGCACCTTTGAAAAATGTTTATTTTTAGATTGTTGATTTCCTGTTGTCACATGTGCAAGCAAATGGAAAATTAGATGTTTATTTTACAAATTATAGTGGGTATAACCAATTAATTTACAGATTAAGCTGGTTTCAAATTAGAATCAAGACTCTGTAGGTTTATGTTTGTTAGTACATGGCACGCGCACACACACACACACACACACACACACTCAACTAGACCAGCTTGAACCCTAATGTCTTCTCTGAATTGTGGCAAATAGGGGCAGGGTTTCAGGAACTAGGGTAAAGTCATTGCATTGTCTATAAAAGAAAAATAGGATCTATGTTAGTTCATCTAAGGCATTAAGCAAGAAAGTCTTTACAATTGTTGATTACTGATGGTCATGTTTGCCTATATTATCAGTTTGGGATATAGCATGTTGATAAAAATATTTAATTTTGTGAAACCGAAGTTTAACATGTAGTGCAGCCTTCAGGCTGAGAGACCCAGAGAACAGGAGTCCTTGGTTGCCATAAGACCAGGTTAGGTAGACTATCATGAACAAATTGAGGCTGGAATAAAAGTGTAAATGCCAACCACAGAAAGTCATGATGGGATCTGAAGTGAAGGAGCTAGAACTGAAGTCTAGTAGTTCACAGGTGGTCAGGCTGGCACAAATAAGTGGAGATGAACTGAAAGTGTCTGGAGCCACTTCAGGAAGTGAGGGGAAGGAGAGCAGGGTTCCTATAGATTGGGGGTCAGGTTGTGTCTGTGCCCCGCATCTCTGAAGCCCTGCTATCTGAAGTGAGCACGCAACCTAGTCCTCTGGGTAGCACTTTGGCATTTCCCCCATGCCATGTGCTCATAGAAATGTATCTCCTTCAGGAATTATCCTAGAGTGAGACTGACCACTTATGTCAAAAAGCACCTCATTTATGGGAGAAAGATGAAGACTTCTCAAGTTTTCCAGACCAGGTTAAAAGTCTAGATTCAGAAATGCCATTTCACTCTATCTTAACCCCACAGTGTTTGAAGAAATTGGATGGTGGTAGTTGATAAGGAGTCAGAGAGCAGGAAGAAATTCAGACATAACTACCTTCTTTCTTTGTTTTAATTTTTTTTTTAATCCGGGATGGTTTGAGGTAGCTGGAAGCAACAGAGAATGATACAGAAGAGTAAATGGTTAAGTGCTTGATGGTATAATATTTGTAGTTCTCAGCTTAATAATTCTCAGAACTTGTCAATCTGTCTTCCATGTCTGGGCACTGGGCCCTCATTTTTGCATGGAAGAAAGGAGGGAAGGGAGAGGCTGCACCTGTCCTTTAAATTAGCCACTTTATGGTATCTTCATCATTTAGATCACGTCTCCTCTACTCCAGCTTATTCACTGAAAGATGAAATACCATACAGTGTCACACCAAAAAGATGTAAAAGGCGCACTTGCCTGTTAGGCAGGGTTTTGGGTATCACATTGTCTTGGAGGAAGCTCCATGACCTTCAGTTCACAAGTGTTGATTCTCTATGACATTACTTTCTCTGAGGTTCATCACATTCTAAGGAATAAACACTAACCAAACTCACAAGATGGAAAACAGAGAGGACCAATAACTGTTGTTTCAAGAAGGCTATCCATTGGCAAGTCCTCTCAAACTTGGAAGCCATGGATCAGAAGTTTGTTTTGTGAGGACAGGATTAAAACAGAAAGGGCTGGGTCTTCCCAGAACAGATTTTTATAACACCAGGAAGGCCTGAGGCAATGTCCTTCTGCCCTGTAGGGCTGGTGATCTAAGACTACATTGAATCTGGTGCCTCCATTCCTCAAAGAGAGCCAGATAAAGAGAAACCAATTCTTGATTTTTCAGGTTATTCTTTAGAAATCTTTTAGGTAATGGCCCTTCTTTTAACATACTGTGTTTAGAGAGACCAGGTGACAGGTTTTTTACGAGTCATGCTGGCCATGTCTTCTGGAGTATTTCCCAGTTTTCTGGACTTAGCACTCTTCATCAGCAAACATTTACACATTATCTTATAGGATCACTTCTGCAGAGATTTCAACACATTTATCCAATGTCTTCCCCACCCCCAAGGTTACTGACCATAACTACAAATGTGGGAAACATCTTGCTATGATGTTTCAGGCAACTCTGGTGTGTTGTCAGATATCTGATCTCTGCAACTGACTAGGGATACGTCCTTGTGCAAGTCAGTGAACCTCCACGTTTTCTACCTGTCAAGACAGAATATCTTCCCCTTGGATTTGATGAGGGTCAATGTGACAATGCATGTGGAAGTACTTTGTGAACAGTAAAGGATTATACAAATATGGGTGTATTTTTAAGTACTTAGTACTAAGTGTTTGCCTGGTGAACCAAGGTCATTAACAACTGGAAGGAAAGCTTGCCAGAAATAGGCCAGGTTTCTATCATAGGCCATGCACATCGTGTAAGTATAAATCCATGTGCAGATGGGCCGGGGGCATAAGGGGACAGGTTCCTTTTCAGGTCTAGTAAATCAGAATCTTGTAATGGGACCTGTACTTTTTCAGAGCCCCACAGATGATTTTGATAGGTAGGAACTACCAGTTTAAGGGATTAATCAAAAAGATCAAATGATATTTTATAAACTGCTCCAATGGCCAGTACATTGTATATCACATTAAAAAATGTCTAATAATGCATTGCAGGTTTGAGTCCCAGTCAGGGCACATGCCTGTTTTGCAGGCCATGATCCCCAGCAACTGTACCTTGATGTTTCTCTCTCTCTCTCTTTCTCCCTCACTTCCCTCTCTAAAAATAAATAAATAAAGTCTTTTTAAAAAATGTCCAATAAGAAACCAGTAAAAATGCTAAGTTCTAGCTAGAATCTGAGAGACAATCACAAATCTAGAACAATTAATCCCAAGATCAAAATAGACAGAATTTGACCATATTGATAAAAAGTCACTAGAACATGAAGTATGTATTTAACTTGTTTTAAACTTTCACTGACCTATAATTTAAAATATAATTCTGATATTTTAGCTTAGTTCCTTTAATGAACAATTTAATAAACAAGGAACAGGTTAATAGTGAATACAACAAGCAATAAACAGTGAGCATTTAATATCTTATTTGGTTTACTTAATTAGCAACAGGTTGTGTGTCTGAACATTTGTTACTGATATATGTCTCCATATGCACATGAGGACCACAGAGATTATCTTCTAGGACATTTAGTCATTTTCTTATTCTAGTTAGGAAGTATCTATCTGGTTTCTCAGTTTCCAAGTTGATCCCCATCTAAAATGTCCTTGTCACAACTGATGGATTCATTTTCTTTATTCTTGTTCTATCTATTGTCTATCTGTTTGTGTTTCTTTTTATTCTGACCCCATTCATTTGGACACATGACTTCCATACAGAGAGAGAGACCTCTGGGACTTAAGGATATATCTGATCACTCCTGCCTTTTACCACCCGAGCCCCACCTTCCTCTTTGACCACATGGCGTATTCTCCTGTTCACCAGTCTTCGGCTGTAGCCACTGGTGTACTGTAAATGTTTCTTCCACACTGTGAAGAAGAAATAAAAAGCCCTGATTTGTGGCATTTGCCCATTTTCATTGGAGACATATTCCCACCATGATCAGTTTCAAGAATGGCTATGTTTAATAGCCAGCTGTCAAGGTTGCTGGAATTTCAACCCCCTATTCTGGTGAGCAGAACACACACACCACCAGTTGCAGCACATCACTGGTTCTAACCAACTGGAGAGAGAAAATACATCGTCTAGACCTGCCCCCCACTTGTGGCTCAGAATGGGACTTTGCTACTTGGATTTCCACTTCCCACAATGTCTTCTGTTACCATGCCCAGGGAGAAATTCCTTTAACTGCTCCTTCTTGTGGCAGGCTGTCCCACTCTGGGAAGCAGATCAGTCCAGCTGTTCCTTCTCCAACCATCTAAGAATTTTCCTGTTTCCCTCTCCAATACATAATATACTGATTTCTCAGTTTCATCTTTAACTTTTAAGCTTCTTGAGGGAAGGGTGTGATTGTACTCCACCAGCTCGTGAATATCTTGCATTTAATTGGACTCAAGAAATGTTTGCTGATGATGATTTTTGACTTTTCATTAAGGCTTACATCTTGTTGACTGCATTGAGATTCTCGGGAATCCCCAATATAGAAATTGAACAGCCCTGGCTGGCGTAGCTCAGTGGATTGAGTGCGGGCTGGGAACCAATGTGTCCCAGGTTCAATTCCCAGCCAGCAACCGCACATTGATGTTTCTCTCTCTCTCTCTCTCCCCCTCCCTCCCTTCCCTCTCTTAAAATAAATAAATAATATCTTAAAAAAAATGAGGCTGCTTAAAAAAAAAAAAGAAAAAAAAGAAATTGAGACAACACCCCAGAAGAATTTCCAGGCAAATAATATTAAGCTTATGTTTAAGTACAAAGGAGGCAAAACAGAGGAAAGGAAGGTCCATTGAACTTACTCAGGGGCTGGCTCTGCTTGGCTGCTTTTATAAGCTGGGATCAAAGCAAGCTTGTATGGAAAGGTGGGCTTTTTGAAAAAGGTGGGCTGGTGAATTTCCCATGTCAGGGTCATGACTTGTTTTTCCAGCTCTGTTGCCCGGTAACTATGTTCAAACCTGCGCTGCTGTGATAAGAGGGTGGTGTAGCTCACCACAGCCAGACTTGACCAACTGTGCATGTGGGTCAGTACTTTCAGCATCTGTAAGGAAGCAAGCCATTGGAAAGAAGGCAGAATCAGCTACTTCTGCATTTTTGAGTAGGGAGTGGAAGTGTCATGACATTGTTCTGGTTAACTTATTGGGTGTTCCTTTTGGCCACCTGGTCTTAACTTGGCTTCCTGGCCACCCAGTATTTTTCTATTTCTGGGCCCAAGACTCTCTGCTGTCTCAATTTGATTGTTGAAACTCAAATATTGAGTCCTATAGAATGACTCTAGACTTCATTACATATGAAATCGCTGTCCCTGGGGCCCTTGCTAGGTAGCTCAGTTGTTTAGAGTGTCATCCTGATAAGCCAGGGTTGTGCAATCCCTTATCAGAGCACATACCGGAATTGATGTGTCTGTCTGTCTGTCTGTCTGTCTGTCTCTCTCTCTCTCCCCACCCCCATCTACCCACCCCCAACCATTCCCCCTCCCTCCCTCCTTACCTTCTGCCCTCCCTCCTCCCCTCCATCTCTCCCTTCCTCCCTTCTCCTCTCTCTATCTAAAATCAATAAGCATGTCCTTGGGTGAGGATGAAAAATAAAAATAGCTGTCTCTTTCTTGTCCTGCCTGTTCCCAGCTCCCCTTCCCCACCTGATCAAACTGGAATGACTTGATCAACCATGATATCTAGGATTATTTTAAAAGTATTATTCTGCTTGTAATGCATACTTAATCAAGCTGACTATACTTTCCCCACTGTTTCTTCAGGTACTAAAAGATGGGCGCTTGGTAAACAAGAATGGAATGTCTGAGCCTATTCTAACAGTGTCACTGTTTGGGAGGTGGTACACTAAGGACTCACATTCTGCCTCAGGAGGGATCGGCAATTTGGAAACAACTAACCTGTTAATATCCACTTTGCTAATGATCACAACTTTGCAAATACTGTGATGGTATTGGACAACTCTTTGTCACAATATATTTGTGCAGTATGTATTTTACTAAATGTATTTATCAGCTTTCCAAGTTACTAAGAAATTCTGAAGGGCCATCTCTGTAGCATAGACCAGTGATTTCTAAATATGTATTTGTCTCATCTTGAATTATTTTGAACTATTACTGTAAATTTGCCCCCTGAGTGCTTGGGTCAGGTGAATGAGTGTCCAGTCTTAGCTCTAACCTTATTTGCTCTGTGACCTTGTGTGTGCTTGTGTGCATGAGAGGCAGAGTGCAGAGCCTCAGGGGCATTGTGAACATAGCTGTGGCCTTTGAAGAGAAGAGGAATGATGAAAATTGAGACTTTTGTGACTGCATTCTATTTGACATTAAAGACGATTTGAATTAATCTGCTTTTCTGTGCTCACGATTAGAGGGAAATTCACTTTCCATTTAGATGGTAATGTTGAAGTTTATATTCACAATGCAAGTTGTTTTGAGATGTTCTAGAAGTGATGACAGATAGTCCAGGTTTGTATCAAAGCAGACCTGGCTCAGGGTGTTCATAGTCCTGAACTACCTCACCTGAAGTCTGTGGTATAATTTAATGGGCCCAGATCCATAACACAAAGACCATGACTGTGAATAGCAACACTGTGTTCAATAGTGGACAGCCTGCATTTCTCAACATGTATATCTCTCATTCTACTTGAAATACAGTGTATTTGTTGTTGATCATTTAATGAAAATATTCTTAAAATTAAAGAAATAAATGTTCAGATTTTTTCAGATTTAATATCTTCAAAATTATTTTGTTTAATATTTTCACATTGAAATATCACCTTTGAGACATTTATGTTTGTTTTTTTATGTTGTTATATATTACTCCTTATAGATTGAATCTGCCTATTCTATGACAATACAGTAGGAAATGAGGACTATTTTTATAATGAAGTGGTTAATATTAAGAGAAAGGAAATGGAAGTTAAGCCACATTTTTGTTTTTACTTTTGAAGAGAGGTTTCTCTGCTGCTTGTGTTCAACGTGGGGGCATCAGAAACGGTCACGCTGAAGTGGTGCTGAATGTACATGTTTATACATAGTCCAAATCACACAGCCATCACAATTGTGTTCTTGTATCTTCTCATCAAACATGGAGAATTTCAGATTTGCAAGGTCTACTTAATGTCTAAAGTTAGACATTATGCAGTGGCATTGCTGTGTGTATTGTGATACTTGGGCAATGACATTTCACTTCAGAAAGTTAAACTGGAAGGCAGCAGCTGACCCTAAACTCTTCAGTTTAGGCCTTCATTCTCATGAATGAAAGGCCAAAGTGATCAAGGAAATCAGAATTATTCTCAGAAACTTATATGGTTTCCTGAGGTGAATGTCAATTGTTGGTCCCTGCCAAGCCTCCTCTTCCCCCTCTTTTTTTTCTTAAATTTGTTTAGTTTTAGAAAGAGGAGAAGGGAAACAGCAAGACAGGGAGAGAAACATCAAAGTGGGGATGCCTCCTGCTCCCCATACTGGGTACCTGGCCCGCAACCCAGGCATGTGCCCTGACTGGGAATCAAACCAGTGACCCTTTGATTTGCAAGCCAGTGCTCAATCCACTGAGCCACACCAGCCAGGACTCCCTTCTCCCCTCTTTATTAAAGGGAAATCCTCCATGTATGTGGGGTTGGAGATCATTCCTCTTAGCTCCAGAGTGTGTCCAAGCTTTACCTGGCATGGACTAGAACTGCAAGGGCAGAGATTCATGCGGTGCTGAGTACATGTTTGAAACCACATTGGTGAGAATGTTCCCTAGAACTTTTGATGATAAATAAATTAAAAAAGAAGTCCTCTCTTCTGGAATCAAAGACATAAGAACCATGTAAATCTGGAGCCCCCAGAAGCTATCTTTACAAATGTGGAGAGCAGGACCAATAAAATTGCATTGGTCTTGTCAAGATAGCCTAAGGTATATAAAACAAAGTGGAGTAACTCATGTCAACCAAGATGGCTGCCAGTCAGCCAGGACACTTTGGCTCAAGAGGGAAACTACCTACGTCAGAGCAGACACATCTGGCAAGGAAACACACCTAACATATCTGCACACATGATCAGAACAGCTGTGTCTGCAGAGTGGGACTACCCATAAATAAGCCCCTGGAGAAGTTTCCCAATTCACATCAGGGGTTTCAAGTAGAATAGCCATGTATCACTCACAGATAGGCTCCTGGGAAAATTCCTCACTTGCCATCAAGGGTTCCAAGACACTTAATTAAAAAAACAAAAAACAAAAAACCCAGAAGGTGGAGTATACCACTTTCAGGGTATACCTCAGGCAGGCTCCGGACCACTGCTGAGACAGCTGAGCTCCACACACCATAGTGCTGCTGCACACTACACTGATCTCCCTTGGCATCGGCTGCTGCAGGCTCTGCCCTGCTGGACTGAAGACTTCATCTGCACTGCTGCCCTCCTGGCTCTTGAGATCCTTCCTTGCATGACACCGATGACTCCCTTGCCCACTGTGTTGCCTCCCGCACCTGCAGGCTGAGCTTGGGTTCGTTATTCCCCACTGATTGCTGTGTTGTGTGTGTTTTATATTTGTCTTAGATTATTAAAATTTGAGTAGGATATTAATGTATGTTGATGATCTACTTTGAGTGAACCTGCATTCAATAAAAGCTGAATGAATAGTACAATTACTGTGTGCGACTCTTGTCTATTCCTGGGTACCAGGCTTCTCAGCAGGCAGCTAGCCAAGCAGTTGCCCAGCTGACTTATAGGAAAGACTATAATGTGAACATATGCTCGTGAAAACTGCAAACTGAAAAGAGTGTTTCTAAGTATGAAGACCAAGAAGAAGTGAGCCAGAGAACTGTGAAGAAATAAGTCAAGCACCTGAATTCAGATTTTTACCTAACCAGTTGTAGTAGACCATTCTGCATGGCGTGGGCCCAGCTCCCACTTGTAGATGCACAGGATCCACGCCCACGGATAGGTTCTCCTGTGGGAAATCAGGCCTGCAATGTACCTAGGCCACTATGAGTCTTGCTTTTTGTTAAAACTCCTTCACCCTGAATGGAGGACATTTTACTGCAAAGCAACTTCCTAAAAACCATGCTAAACCTTCCAAGGATGAGTGTAACCTGTTCAACTACTTTTGCCTTTTCATTTGCAAATATCCCTCTTCTGTGATGTGATTACCAGCATCCTCCCCTTTGCTTTCTGTATAAGGTAACCACCTAAAGGGAGCCTGTGCATAGTTAATGAGGACCTCCTTGTAATGTGCCCAGTAAGGCAATAGGAGCTCACTGGAGAAAGGGCTGAGGGTTTTGCACCCTTTGAGAGAAAAGCCATAGCGTCCCTTTCCCTCCACCAGATTTGGTAATCCATGTGAATGTTTCATTTCATCCATAATGACTTGGAAACTACGGGCCAGTGTCTGCATCAACCAGTATTTCACTAAAACGTCCAGTTATGTTGGCCAAAAAGTTTCTTTTCTTTTTTTGCTCAAAGTGTTTTGACTTGTTGGATAGTCATTTGTCCAAATGACTGTCCATCATTTGGACAAAGGCACGTCCTTGTTTTTGCTATCCTGCTCTAATTCTGCATAGTGAGTTACATAATACTTTTAAATGCAGAGGCCTGTGTACTTGTCTTCAGGGGTACTTTGAAGGCTTGGCACTATTCTTCTGCTGGTCTTGGGTACAGTAACCTAAAAAACAGTGGGTGGCAGTTACTCCATGGAAGACAATGTCATGTGCAAGAAAAAGAGAGGAGGGAAGCCCCATTGGACTCTAGAAAGAGCTTGCCTAGACCTTAGAAATAGCACAGCCTTATGGAGTTTCCTTATGAAATAAATGCACATTGCAAGTTATTTAAAAATGTATTTACTTTTAAGAAGATTTTCTTTAGTTATATAGAGAGAGGAAGGGAGGGAGAAAAAGAGGGCAAGACACATTAATGTGTGATTGCCTCTCACACACCCCCTACTGGACCTGGCCCAAAACCCAGGCATGTACCTTGACTAGGAATCAAACCAATGAACCAAACCAGCTAATGTGGGGAGGTTCCACCTCCCCACAGCTGCTGTGGATGAGAATAAGTCTACCAAGACATGATCTGCTTTGGGAGGAAAGGCTGACCAGTCTTTCAGAGGAGAAAGGTCTTTAGCCAATCTCTCAATGGTCTTTTATTGAGTTTAGCTTGCATAGGGATGCATATTAAAGAATGGAGATATGGTTTACAAATAACACTTCTGGGATCATGGGGGTCCTTTTGAGTCAGGGTCTGGTAGACAGGGTGATACCAATTGGCTGTAAACCCTTGGGAAATAAACTTATTTTGTGCTTGGACCCTAAACATTTAAATTGGGAACATTCTTAGCAAAGCAGGTTTCACAGGACTTTATGCATTCTTTCTTAGGCCTGACCACCCCCAGCTGGGAACTGCGGGTTCTGGCACAGGGCTGCACCCCTCTTTGGCATTGTTTCAGTCCTGAATCAGGCAGGAGAAGCAAGGCAGACAAGACATGACGAGACATTTTACGGATATACTGAGGACTCAGGCTATGATAAAGCTGAGGGATAAGCGGTTTTTGTCTCTTCTCCACAATCCCCCCAAATCCTTCCCTGATGGCCCCTTGGTGACTGACTGTGCCTATCTTCGGTTGTTACTTTCTTGAGGAATCTCATCCATCATTGACTATCCAGCCATCCTTCAGGGGCCAAGCAGAGTGAAGTAAAGGGGACAGAGGCTGCACCCCTGCCAGCAAGATAAGTTTTGTTTCCTTAGTGGCTTATGGTCCCAAAGTCCCCTAGTTGTGGGGCTGTTTCACCTGATTAAACAGCTCCTGACACCAGGCAGGACAGTTTCAAACAAGCCAAGGCTAAACATTTATTACAAAAAATGTTTCTGACACAGGCAATACCCTTGCTGGTCCCCATATATCAGCATCCTGGAACTGGTCAGTGGCAGCCCAATTGGTGCAGTTGGGCAATGTGAGTCAACCAAACTCATGGTCAAGGATGCTTCTTGTATAAGCAAGAACCGGAACTTCTGATGCCTGCAACATACTTATAAGGAAACTGTCAGCATGTGAGTTCTTTTTATAAGTTTGTTAGTACATTTAATTCTACTTCATAGTAAATCAGAGTAATATAAAGGTTTTCTTCTCTGCTACACTCTTCCTTGTCATGTTGTAAGCTCTGTTAAACCTGGGGCTTTGCCTTGCAGTCTGTTCAGTGTCTATCACAGTTATGCACATAAGTTTTCAACATAATTGTTATGATACTGGCCTCCCACAATGGTCCAATATTGGCCTTATTATGGGAAACACTGACCTACCAGGAAAGTATATTTTAGTAAAAGAAAAGAAGTTTAGACTGGGGTAGACTCATCTAGTTGGCCCATTAGTTCCTCCTTCAGAGCTGGGTGCCCCTCAGAACACTGTGAACAACAGCACTGTACACTGGAGTTAATCCAATGATGCAATCCTGGCTATCAGTTTTCTTGTGCAACATCCTTTCTCAATGCTGAGCAATGGATTCTGTGCAATTGCATAATGTATGAGAAAATATAAATAGCTCATAGCAGGCAGGGCTTTAACTAAAAGCTTTCCAGTGACAGAAAATATAAGAACATGAGTTTATCCAAGAATACTAAATTGTAGCTATGATTAGATCATATTTTCTAAAATTTGTGGCAATTTTTGCCCTGTTAGTCCTGAGTGTTAGTGCGACTGACACTTTCATTGCTGCAGTGTATGAGCATGCTGTTATATTACCAAATAAAACAGAA